GGTAGTATCCCAGAGCCTGACTGTGCCGTCATAAGAGCTTGATACAAGCTGCATGTCGTCTGGTGAGAAGGCCAGAGCTAAGGGTGTGTCTGAATAGTCTGTAAGTATCTTCTGGAGGTCTCCAGTAGCCGCGTCAAAAAGCATGATAAATCCATTATCATGATAATAACCGGTTGCTGCGATTTGCCTGCAATCCGCCGAGAAAGCCAGGGCGTGGGGGCTAGGGGGCCCACGATCGCGCTCTTCTGGTGACTGCAAGTGGAGCCAGTCCTGACGGTCGCCTGTGGTGGTATCCCATAGCATAACAGAGCCCTCATAAGCGCCTGACCTAATCAGCTTGCTATCTGGTAGGAAAGCCATAGCTGTGATCTGCATTGAGTGACCAGATAGCGTTTGCTGGAGGCTACCTGTAACAGTATCCCAGAGCTTAACTATGCCATCCTCAGAGCCTGATGCTATCTGCTTGCCGTCAGGTGAAAAGGTAATAATTCTGACAGTTTCCAAATGGCCTGCTAGTGCCTGTATCATAGGCGTCCAACTGTCCTCCATGGGAGGAGCTCTTCCCAGCCATACAGGAATTTTGTGAAGGTTTTCTCCTTTTACAACACTTGATTCAGGACTGAAAATGATGCCAGAGCTGTAGATTTGAAGTGGCCAGTGCGACAAAGTGTGGTAATGTCGCAATAAAAAACGCATAGTATCTTGCACGAATGCTAAAGCTTGACAGTCATCCTTTGTCAACTTAATTAGTAAAGACGTAGGCGTCAGAGAAAAGACTAAGAACCCACTTTCAATATTTCTTCCAGTGCTCTCAACGCATCAATGGCCTTTGGTAGCCTGTCCAACAGACTTAGGCATTCTAGCCATTCCAACAACTTTGTGTGTAGGAATACGCTAACTTGGCTCTTGTCGCTGTCGTTGCTGGCGTTCTTTAGATGTGACGCCCAGAACATAGCTGCATAGTCCACGCGAGACAGTACGCCATTCTTCGGTCCATTTTCCAAAGCATCTAAAGAGTCTCTCGTGGCATCGGGCCACGGCAGGTCGACAAGGTTGGGCTTAAGATATTCAGATAAATAGCACAGACAAGCGAGGGCAATTTCTTCATGTCCGAAGCGTCCATGAGAGTCGAGTATAGACAGCCCATTCTCCCCGGCCAAGTAGTCTCGCGCTGACTGATGAACAAACTCGATGTTGTCTTCGCGCAACCGGATGAATGAAGCACAGCAATCGACCAATGCTCTAATGGTGTCCTCTTCATGGGTTAGGCCGATCACACTAGCGACTTCCTCCACTTTCAAAGGTCGGTATACCGTCATCATGGCCTTGAGCAGTCGCATACACTTCTGTACTTCAGCCAGTTCGCCTTCGTTGAGCTGGTTCAAAACCCGATCATAAAACGGATGCAAACCCGGCGGCAAGCTTTGAACTGTGGACAGAGCGTCATCTCGGCAGACACTCTCGAGCGCCTTGCATACCAAGCTTACCCATAGGAAGGTACCTTCCGATCTTTCAGTAAGCTCAGTCTCTATTTCGCTCTTCAGGGTCGCTCCATATTTGTGCTGGCGACTAAGCTCCTCCACTTTAGAAGTGATATAAGCCTCCACAGCCCCAGAAACAGACTGGGAATTGTGTTCACCATCCAGATTAATTTGCACCTGGTCCTGACCGGCTAATAATACCCGCTCTGCGCCGTCCCATGGTCGGCTTGTCAACATCCACTTGATCTTACCGGGATGATCCAGTCCCTTTCGCACGATGGATTTGAGAAAGTCAACCACGTCGTCATCCTGACATTCATCAAGCGCATCAACAACCATATATACCCTAGAGTACTTGCACCGGGCCAACATCTCGAAAAGAATGTTCCACAACGATTGCCACGAGGTTACATCCTCGCTGAAAGACTCCTGTATGGTATCCCACCGGCGACGGAGCGATTCTTTCAGCTCCGTTTGCTGATTCGCCAGCTGCAGAATCAACCCCTTGAGAATGGCTTCCAGTGTATTGAGCTCGTAGTCGGCATTCTGGCAGAAAGAATAAATAACCACGGTGGATTCATCCTGCGCCCGGGCGAGCTGCTCGATCAGACCGATTGACAACATGGTCTTCCCTTTCCCAGCGCCTCCCTTGATCCAAAGCAGGCCGACGTCGTCCCCATTTTCCCAACCGTTGTACTGCGGATCTTCAAGAATCCACTGGATGGACTGGTGAACCAACCTGTCCTTGCTCTCTTTCAGGCGATTCTTCACAGCCAGGGAGTCCGGGCAGCGCAGAGCATGGAGACAGATTCGATCGATGTCTTCGGTGGTGTACGCTAGAAACAGCGTTTAGCCTCCCTTAATTTAACTGGAAATCACATGGAAATTACCACGCGCCACATGGAATTCTGCTGTGATGGAGCCGGAATTGTTTCCAATCTGGAGGCCATGGTTTGTCGCATTAAAAGCAGTGGATGTGGCCATCATCAAAGCATTCACTGATGCAAGATTGTGCTGGAGGGAAGCTGCGGCTCAGCCAGCTGAATGAGCGCCTGCCTTCAATTACTAGGGATTTCAGGTGGCGTGTTATTTTGCAAAGTACAGTTGCAAAGAAAGAATTCGGAGTTTCAGCCGTTGGGCACTAGTAACGCTAGGTGATTCTGTCTGTAACGAATACAAGAGCTAAGCACTCGGAGTTAGCGTCCACAATCACATCCCCTTCCGCCTTTTCCCCGAGTGATACTCCACGTCGGGCACAAGCACACTGAAAATGCCCTGGTGAACACCCGATCATGGAAAGCCATCGTGCGCGATAAGGCGTTGGCCCGCATTAGAGCGGCAATTGATGAAGAGGCCGCATACCAGCTACTTGCAAAGCTGCGAGCGCCCCTAAAAACCATAGGCTTGCTTCTCCATTCTGACCCTCATACGACCTCCCCAACCAGCCCCCAGCCCCCACAGCCCCCCGGGCAACCAATCCACAGCCACGACAGCACCAAGGAACAAGACTCCCGAGGTCGCGCCAGCAGCACACCTCCGCCAGTTCACATTCACACCCCCCCCCCTCCACTTCAGCACGGACGAGCAAGCCATAGAGCAGGCAACGTAAGGAAGACAGAGAACAGTAAAAAAAAAAGAACTCTTAGGAGACGCTAAGCTCACTATCAAAGATACTTCCTGCCGGCTAATACATCATGGGATCTATAATTGGCTTTTCAACACCGCACGGCATCCCACCAGGGCATGGACTAAATAGACCAAGCAGTCCCTGTCCATTGTCCTGGCAGGATTGTGCCCTTGGTTTTGGCAGTGACTCACATTCGAAACCTGCATATAAATGGTGTTGGTCAGTTGTTGACATTGTTCCGAGATCAAGCTGTGCTCCCCATGGATGGGATGGTTGAGCCCCAAGACTATGATACAACCCGTGAGAACAGCCGGAAATTCAAAGAGATCTTGATCCGAAGAATAATATAGTGAAACCAGGGCTGCTCCCATGCTAGATCCTGCGACACAGATCATGAGCTTTCATCATTTCCATGTTTCCATTTCGCCCCTCCTTCTCTTTTCTTTTTCCCATGTGTGACTTGATGCCCTCAGAGACCTTGGATCTCGTGTAATATAATGATGAAGGCGTCGTGCTGATTGGACACATGACGACCTGTGATAAGAGACCTCAGCGCAAAATTATTGTTACTAGTACGAGTTGACGTAGAATGTAAACTACGATCGTAAGGCTTATTAGAACACGTCATCCTTGGGTTGTACAGTTGGATCTTATACTAATCCCGTAGTAAAAATGATCGCTTCGTATTATTACAATGTTCGTATTCCCTGGTGGACGCAAGCACTCTCGCCAAGCGCACGCAGCCAACAGGCTACACCTTGCCCACATTATATGAGCACTTTATCCTACATGTCGGGGATAGACGTGCGCGCCTTGATCACAGCGTCATTTCTTCTGCCGAGTTGCTTTCTAAGGGGAGCGAATCCATATACTTAGCGCATAATGCACGTAACTCCTTAGCTTAGCACGTCCATATACCCCAAGGAAGATCAGGGACACAGACTTCGCCCGCATCCGCAGACGTTAAATACTACAACGATAACAACAACGACGATCGTATTGGTTATATATTGCGAATAGACCACGTTACTCATAGTAGAGCCTCGACGATCCTGAGATTCATATGTCATATCTACGTGTGCCGAAGCAATATCGACTTCCCCATACTCTAACTCGCAGATCGTGTAACCTAATGTCATGTTCAGCTCCAACTCTATTGAACATTAAACCATACATTTGCTGTAATCTGAAAGATGGGGTACTCATTTTGGGACATCCTAGGGTATTAACTTCGTGTGAGCCCTCGCAATAAACAAAACTTCGCAAGGGACGGACAGAGCCGAGTGGCATGCAAGATGACGCCTACCGCCATTCCCTCGCTTCGATGGACCTCTTAAGCAAAATTCGACAGATCACCAGCGAACAGGGATATGACACACCTATCTGGCGGTCAGAATCTGCGATCAGCCCCCACCTCCCAGCGTCGCCAAATCAGGACTGAGCCCTCACCCCCACTGACAACACTAGATCAACATTAGATCTCACAGTCGGTGTACTCGGGTTCGTCAAGAGAGGCGGTATGGTGTGCCAGCTCGCCAATCATACTGACTCTCCAGATAGACTTGTGTCTATTTCCGATCACTGGCAGGACATCGTGAGACGCTTAGAAGGTCGGGTCTCTGTCTATCCGGGGAAATGGGACATGACGACGACGAATACCGAGTGTTTCTGTGGGATCGACGATGCTAGATATGGGGAGTTCGTGCTGCTAAAAGTTTCTGCGGTGCAACGTGCACGTAGATGGCCAATTGGGACTTGTTCGTGGGGCTGGGCAGGGTTGAGAGGCTAGATTTATCTTAAGATCCTTTTCTTTATATTAAGGTAGTGAAAAGTGAAGCTATACCCCATAGTCTCCAGAGTATTCCGTTTCCGTACTCGATTTCACATACACCATGCTCGCCTGTTTCTTGTTCGGTAGTGCCGTGGCCTATAACCTCGTCATGATTATTTATCGTCTTCATTTCCATTCACTCAGTCGATTCCCTGGTCCTCGGCTCGCTGCTGCGACTGGGCTATACGAGATCTACTTTTCAGCCTGGGGTCCTGGGTTCTTTGAAAATGAGATCGACCAGATGCACCAGAGATATGGTCAGTATACTACATCGGTACCATGAGAACTCCAATCTGACCCACGGTTTCCAGGTCCGGTGGTTCGCATTACTCCCGATGAGGTCCATGTCCAAGAGCCATTCGGCTCTAACTATGCCGACTGCTGGATCAAGGGCACGCGAGCTTTGGAGTCTGGTCGTCCTTTGCGACATACCCATTTCCAAATCAGGAAGCGGTCCATATCTCGAGTTCGGTCTTTGATCCGGGTGGAGGTCAATCAGATCATCAGTGGTCTGATCGAGAAGCACCAGGTGCATAAGGTGTATAGTGCAAGACTTCCACCTTTCATTCCACTGTCGCGTGCCCAAAATCCAGTCAGAGGCGATGTGGAGGACGATGTTCCAGTCTCAGATATTCTCTCAACGTCTGGTACTCGGGGTAATTGAGTCCATAGAGTTCCACCCCCGCACATTTGACGAGAAAAAGTCGGAGGTTTGAAGCCACCCGTTGATGATGTCCGTCATTTCCAGTCCTCCATATTCCGACATTTGAGTATAAGTGTGAGGGATCTCGCAGAACCAAACAGAACGCCCCCAAGTGAACATTGAGTGATTACAAAGGAGGCCTGGAAAGTTCGGCTCGGCTTCTTTGACGGGCCCCGCCTAAACGCCTCATTTTTATGCCAGGACACGCGATCGCACTCTCTCCTCCACACCTCACAGCTATATTCAATCATGGTATGTTTACCTGATCGCTTCGATCCCCAGAGCTACACTCTGATCCCCCGGTCCTTTGCAATGGTCCCTCGAACCAAGACTAACCCAATCGCAAACAGCCTCACGCCGACTCCTCCTACTTCGCGCCAGGCCTAAGCAAGGCTGACGTCTACACACAACTCCTGGAACAAACACAAGGTCTACTGGACGGCCAACGGAATTGGGTCAGGTGAGTGACGCGCGATCCCTCCGCAGCAAAGCAATGCGACCACGCCAAAACCCAACTAACACACCACCCAGCAACCTCTCCAACGTCGCATCCCTCCTCTGGCACGCCTACGCCTCCCTCCCCGCACCCTCCTCCTCTGTCAACTGGGCCGGCTTCTACGTCCGCGATGATAAATTCCCCGCCCTGGCTTCGCCCGTCTCGTCCCCGCCATTGACAGGCGCTCCCGGCTCTGGCGTGACCATCTCAACCACATACTCCTCATCGGAGAACCAGATTCTGCTCCTGGGCCCCTTCATGGGTAAGCCTGCTTGTCAGGAGATTCGCTTTGGGAGGGGTGTGTGTGGCACCGCCGCTGCGAAGGGGGAGACTGTTGTTGTGCCTGATGTGCTTGAGTTTCCTGGGCACATTGCATGCGACGCTGAGAGTCGGAGTGAGATTGTTGTGCCGATTTTGGTTCGGGGAGAGGTTCGTTCTTATTTCCTGGTGGTTTGTTGTGGGTCATGGTGCTAACTTGTGTTTTCGCAGACTGTCGCTATTATTGACATCGATTGCACCGAGCCCTCCGGCTTTGACGACGAAGACAAGAAGTACCTTGAGCAGCTGGCTACTTTCTTGGGCGACAACTGCGATTGGTAAAAACACCATATTTCTATAATGGTTATGAAAGATACGGTCTTGGATAAAAGTCACTTGTTATAGGACTGCGGATTTGCTTGCTGTTGATCCTTTACGCACAAAAGTTTCGGGATTTCTTTTTACGCAGGGACCTGCTACTGCCACAGGCCCTTGTGTGTATGTCTTTCATGTATACTTACAATTTTTTTCTCTTTTGAATAAAGGGCTTTCAACGCGATAATCCCCCTCAAGCTTGATTCTGCACATGCGACAACGACTCAAATGCTACAAACAATCCATTAGTCCCGACAGATCGTTTCGCCAACATCCAATTTCGTGTTTCGGGCATATTAATCCCCATCCGGAATGACAGAGTATTGAACCCAACCTCGGTCACAGGCCTAACAGTCAGATCCAACTTCCTCCGCAAAGCCAAGAAGGCACCGCCTCGCCATTGGAAAACCGCGCCTGGAATTCAAGTCCATAGCGGAGTCACGTCCCAATCTCAGTTTTGTACATATCATCATTCTGGATCCGTGCCGTCTCTATAACGTGCGAAATGGACGCTAGCGAGTGTCCAGTATGCTCAAGGTCCCGACATGTCTCCTGCGCCTGCTCATTCCCCCTAAAAAAAATCCTGGTCGAACCAGCATTCAACGATTGCATCGGGGGACGAACTCTCCCCACGCGCTGCAACGGGGTACTCGTCAGCTCTAGTCGTATAAATCGTCGCAGGAACGCGAGCGTTGAACAACCCCATTGCACGCTGGTATCTTTCAGCATCCTCGACGGAAACAGCCATGCCCATGGCTGCTTCATTCATCGCTGCCATTGACACAGCCAAGTCAGCAGCCCTTATTCAATATCATACCGTGTGTACCTAGGTAGGCTAAGAAAAAGGCAAATCAAATGAGCACTATGCAAATTGCTCACTGTGCGGATTGCCCACCATGCGAGTCGCTAACTATGCGGATTTCTCACTATGCGTGTTGCTCACAGATTCATCTAAACCCGGATGATTCGTAGAGCGTGTAATTTGATACGACTTCAGAGATCTCAAAGTGTGGCACTGAGTTCTACCGTGAACAATGTTCATGTACGCTAACTCTTGAACCTACGCCACAAGGCCTAGTAAAAAGTCACCCCAATCGAAATGACCTGCGGTGGAACCTGCAGGTTTACAATCACCAAGAACCCATTCCTTCTTCAACTGGGTCAACCACGTCTCAAACACCATCTCCTCGCCGCCGACCAGCATCATGCCGCTGCGGATCTCCTTTGACGGTGGAAGAACGGAGATAAAGTACTGAACGTGTCGGAGATTACATCTCTCCTTGGACATCGCGCCTCCCACCAGGCTAACGCAGTCCCGACACAACTCACCCCCTAAACAGATGGGGCAAATGTGAAAGCCATCACGCGTTAATACTTTTCGCCGGCATGGACCGCGACATTTATACCAGGGGTCGCTGTTGTCCTCTTCCCGCCTGTGGGCAATTGCAGCAACATTTTTGATATCTCCGGCCCTTATCAGAGTATTTTTCAGATCGGAAAGCTCCTCGTTCCTGGGATTGTCATCGGGGAGATCTTGAACGATTCGTTGTAGGGATGGTCGGAAGAGAGCCCGCGCCCGTCCGTCTTGCCCTCCGAAGCGGCACCAGATGCCCAAGTAGACGGCCGGCACGAAGGCGCAGCTTCCCAAGGGATAATATTGGCTTTGGTGAGCGAGCTTCTCGAGCTTGGTCACCGATTCTTCAGCCTCTGGAGTGCCAAATCCCGTTTCGATGGCGTTGCAGAGAAACGCGCGAGCTAAGTTTGAGGAGGCGAGCTGTTTGATCATCCCGATCAGGGTCCCGGAGGACGAGGACGAGTATACATCCATGATCTTCTCCCAGCACCTGATTGCCTTCAAGTTGTCTAAAAGTAGCTCATCATATATTCGAGCGATAGCCATATCCACCTCTGCGGCAAGTAACGTTCTCGATGCTGCTCGAGCTGCCTTAGCCGCCGTTTGCAAGTTTTCCAACACAAATTCCAGGTCATTAGTAGCCAATGCGGCATCGGCAGCCAACCTTGACTTGCCGTCCACATCAAATACGTTTTCCAGTAAGAATCGGGTGAGTCCTGAGAAATCTTCTTCCGGTGCCGGAGCGTCGGCTAGCTTCTTCAGCAAGTCCATGGATGCTTCGTGAGCGTGGTTGTCGTTATGGTATTGTAAGAGGGCATAGATACAGTTGCAACAAGCAGGTGCATATTGGTATGCCTCTTGAACCGCCTCAAACCGCTTCTCCCAATCCTCCTGTTCTTCGTAGATTCGACCTATACTCTCCAAACACTCATGAAGATGTCCTTTCAATGGTTCATCCTCTGGTGACTCCGCAATTGTGGTCAACAAACTAACTCGAGTCCGTTTCCAAAGCTCAATGGACTTTTGCCAATCGTCTTGATCCTGATATGTTTGTGCTAGCTCACGAAGGGTCCGCCAATCATCCGGATTGAGTTCCATCGCCTTTTTGAGGTACTGTAAGGCTTCCTCGTGGTATCCCGACTGGCGCAAAGCAATCGCACATCGTTGAAACCATTGACTGGTCTTCTCAAAACCACCAAACTCAGCGGCCTCGACCACTTCTTCCGCGGTCAGGCTCCTATCGTAATCATGGATGTCCTCGCCCTTAACGAGCATTTGGTAGCGCCAGACTATAGAGACCATGCGAAGAGGACTAGGCAAGTCTTCCCACAGCCACCTCTTGATGCAGTACATTACCATTGGCTTGAATAAACTGACTGGCTCCTCCTCCGTTGTCGAGATAAATCCCTTCTCTTCCGGAGATAGAGACTCTAAGATTTCTTGCTCTTGCCACCATTGTCGGACAGCTTTGATGGTAGCCGTAGAAAAAGCCCAATCATAGTCCCCAAGCCAGCTCGACATTGAGTTTTCCGATCGAAAAGCCACCAATAGCATCTTTGCAATCTCTCGTCTATCCTCTGATGAGCCCTTGGTCGGGAGAGTGGTGGGCAGGTGGTCGCCCCAATGTCGTGCAGCGTGTCGAAGCATCTTCCCTGAGTCACTGGCCTTCGCTGCAAAGTCGGGATCGGTGATCAACCTTAAGTAAGTCCTGAGGATATGAACTTTGGCTACTTGGTAATCCACGCCGACGGCAATGTGGCCCCTTGCAGCGGACACCTTGCCCTCTAACTCATCGCGGAAGAAGTCGACAATAGATGCATGACAGAAGGTGACGGTAGTTGTATCCTTTTTTGAGTTGAAGTCCATGAAATAGTCCTCGTCGGAACTCTTATATACATCCTGTCTGTCCTCGTCGGCTGTCCAGTCGAACGCAACTAGATGGGCTGATCCATTCTCTAGCTCGGCTGTCGTAAGGCCATCCTCTCGGTCCAGGGAGAAGAATGATGCCCACTGGCGCCGTAGGGCTCCTTCAAGGTCAATCATGCCATCCCCTTCGGATGATTTCAATCTAAGGATCGCCTCTAGCTCCCCCAGTCTCCACGGTAGGTCCGCGCAGGTGACCCAGAGTAACGTTTCATTGAGATACTCGAGCTCCTCCTCATTGGATCTTTCAGAGAAAGTGACCAAAACATGGCGGAGCATCTCCTTGAGCCCCCGCGGAGCTTGCTCCATTGCTTTCCGCATACTGGTCTCATTTCGCTTCTTAGCCAACTCTTGCAGCATGAGGTTCACCCAAAGAAACATGCCTTCCGCCCCAGCCGAGAGTTTCACAATGATCTCATCCCGTAGCTTTGCTGACACCTTTCGCAGAAGCAAGGACTTTTTGATGCTGGCGTGGATATACTGGGTAATATCGCCGGAGTTCTTCTGTTTGGTGACGTGAAGGGTTGGCACTTTTACCTCTAGACCTTCGAGCAGTTGATCACTGATATAAGGTCGACCAATGATAGCTAGCTGCAAACACGACTGGTTGCTGTATAATTGCTTTGCGAGATCGACGAAGACACTCCACTCCTCATCCAGAGCCTCGTCCACTGCATCCAGCAGGATATACGCGGTGGTCTCAGTGTTAGGTCTCTTGAGGAAGTATTCGCCGAAGAGGAGACGCCACGAGCTCTCAAGCGTGCTAATCTGTTCATATTCCCCGACGGTCATGAGATACTCTCGGTACCCTGAATCGTTCTTACTGATTTGAAAGGCTAAGTCTCGCAAAGCCTGATGAAAGGACCTTGTCTGGGGTTTGTCACCCTTGAAGAAGAAGTAGCCGATCGAAATTAGTGGGTTACGCTGATGGCCCGGGGGAAACCGATCGAAAAGGAAACTGATCATGTTCGCCGCCAGAAATGACTTTCCCGAACCTGGATTCCCAGAAACAAAAATGACTGGCGTTTCCTTATTGATCCACGACTGGAAAACGTCATCCTCACGAACCCAGTCTCCTGTGCCCGGTACACGGGCCTTGTCAATCTTGTCAAACCATTCCTGGGCGGAATCAATCTTGGATGGCCGAAGGACCTGGCTGATGAGTCCCTGCAGAGCTTCTTGATTCTCACGGGTGTCCTGCTTTTCTTCATTCGCGGAAACGATGAGTTTCTCTAGAGTCTCCTGCACCTCGTGTACCTGTGCGCTTATCTGGTTAACCGTCATCCCAGTCTCGAGGACAGTCTCATTGGTGGCGTTGACAGCCACAGATATACCATCAACGACACGGCCAGCTCTCTTCGACTCGGTCAAGGTCTCAGCTCCAACTAGGTTCACTTCGACCTGGGTGAGCTTGTCAAGTTTTACCATTGCGGCTTGAATAGCATCATCGTTACCGAGTAGAATATTCCGGGTGTACTTCAGCAGTCGGCCTCGCCGGACGGTCTTGGATGACAAGGCAAAAACTTCGATAAGGGTAACGATGATATCGCTCAGCTTGTCGCTTAGAGCCTCGGAGATGGCTTCTTGTGTGTACGCTCCGAGTCGGATGGTGAAGTCCTAGTTCCGTTCAGAGCTTTACCCTCTCCCGTATTTTTGCCTGTCTGTAGATAAACCATACCTGCAACATCTGCATCAAGTCCTGAATCGCATTGTACGAGGCCGATACCCCCTTTGCAGCACCCACCAAGTACACGACGGCCCCAAATACGAGACTACTGGGGGGAAACATCATCGACGCGCTCCCAGCTGCGAGGTTGCCGAATAATTGCACGGGGATCAGGGCTGCTTGGAGCACATCAAACAAGGCGCTTCGCTTTTCGCGGAATTCGCGAAAAGCGTTGTTTCTCTCGTCAATTTCTTTCGTGAGATCGCTGACGCTGCGAAGCTTTGTGAGAAAGTCTCCCCCGAAAGTCTCCCCCGTGATTTCGTGGTACTTTCGGATCGCTTTCTCGTAAATGGCAGACGACTGGTCCGTGGGGGCGACCATTTTTGACGTTGGCAATGGAATTTTCATATAATGTTGAGACTAGCAAAGGGGAAGGTGAGAGTGTCGTATTAATCAGGTACTGCGGGGCACCTGTCAAAAGCCAAGTCAGGTCATGTCAGCTCAACTATAATCATCTTGTTGCATCCGAGGCTCTCGATATCTCGCTTTCATTAATAGCCCAGGAGGGCTCAGCTGGATCCGTCACATCAATACGTTGAACGGCAATACACCCGGGTTTGCGCAGATGTGTTGGGGTTGGGGGTCGCTTAGGAGGACGCCTGGATGGGTCCATTTTTGTGGTGATGTTGAGAGTCTTAGCTGTGTAGAGGTTACTGAAGTTGTTGGTATGGCGCTTCCTTGTATGCAGACCATTGTTGTCATTAAGTGCAGTATGAGGTTTGGAAGGACATAGTGACTTTTCCTTGGACCTGGATGTTTCGCTCTCCCATGTGTCTACAACATCAAATTATATACAGCTTGCTTATACACATGGTTCAATCCTGCGAGTACTGCGTACGATTACACTCTTACATTCATCCAAGCGAGAACCTATATATAGTATACCTCAAACAAAACCAAGATTTAATCTAAATGACACAGACCCAGATCGGCTAGAACTATGAAACGTGGAATGTTAAATGCGGGTACTAACCTAAAGATCACCCCTGCCAAGTTACATCGCTTGCCAGAACAAGTTCGCTTAACTTGAACTGAAACTGGTCACATCTAGGAATTGGAGATACTGTGTCTATTCTCGGATGGAGATGCGATTTTTGTCGATGTCAAACACCTCATGTGGGTCAATCGCAGGGTTGTGCATACCGTATTTTAGGAGCAGTTTGCGATATTCAGCTCTCTGTGGGCGAAACGAAGACCAGTTGCTCTGGTGAAAATCTTATATTCTGGAATCTTTTCTCCTCCGCGTGGGTTTCGTTATGGTGCTGGACTTTAGTAGTACTCTCTGGCTAATCACTGTGCTAGTATACATGTATTCTATCTTAGGACCAAGCTTCATCGACAGAGCCTAGATGAGCAAATTTTATTTGCATCCAAATTCACACCTTTAGATAGAGATGTTCTTGAATGAGTCGGGTCAACTACCTCGACACGCCCGCTTCACGCGGCAGTGGCTCCACTGACAACCCTGTCTAATTGACTGACCCTGGCGCAGAAGATCTTGCCGATCTTATCGGCATTTGTGTCCATGCAGGTGTCAGTGTCTGTGCCAGTGGTCATGGTTGAGAAAAATAGAGACATCGACAGATCTCGTTACCCCTGTAACACGCCCTGCAGCTGTCATCGGTTGGTCGCGGGGATCGTCGTACCCCTGACCGTGTCCCAGTCAATGATGACTTCACGAAATAGTCGGCTTCAATCGGTATATCCCGACGTTGGGGCCCATCTCCCTCTCTAGTTGGATATAATAACCTATTGTCGATGGATTCCCATACCGTGATCAGGATCGATGGATATATTACAGAGCGTATTGACAAGTAGGTAGGAAGAGTATCATTTTAATGCCTTCATAGTGATCGATTTGATGACTTGGCGCTGTTGTGTCTGCTCAAAATAACTTCAAACCCAACCACCAACGTATAGCACGTCAGAATCGGACGACATTCATACTCCGACCTAGCACTCAATTTGAGGAGTCGAATACCAGAACTGGTACCTCAAAATGAAGCTCCAATCTTACTACAATCCGATCAATAATAAAGTTTGCAGAACAGGATGTGTACTGAAACGCCGCCATGTTTCGTCTTGATAAAGCACCACAACTACCAAACTGTGTACATCCAAAGCTATGAATGCAACCTCAACATAATGACTATAAAGGGCCACAAAATCACACCTAAGTCTACCCATCAAACCATCAACCCTAAAGAATAAATCCAACAAACCACCCAAAATGAAGCTCTCCACCACAATCATCCCAACTCTCGCCCTCCTCCTCCAACCAACCCAAGCCCTAGTCGGCATCACCTGGAACGTAAACAACAGCAGCAAAGCCCTCCAGGAGATAACCTTCCCAATGAACATAGCGAACGCAAGCCACGAAAGCGGCTTCTACTTCGCCCAACAATACAGCTTCAAGAACCAAAAAGACGTAGGCTACACAGGCCTCCAACCGCGTCCCGACACCAACTCCAAACCCAAACTCCACGCTGCCTTCTCCAGCTTCATAGCTGGAACAACCTCAACAGATCCAAACTGCAGCGATGGCGCAGACGGCGGCGCAGGCGTAAGCTGTGCAATCGACATCGAAGGCTCGTATGCGCACACTTATCTGCTACATGTGAATAATACAGCCGGCACGACGTGGACGGGTACATTGATTGATGCTGTTAGCGGGAATGAGACTCGCGTTGGCTCTTATACGCTTCCTGAGGGGTCTGGTGGTATTGTGGGGGATCAGATGGGTTTCGTGGAGTATTATCCTTGGAATGCTGCTGGTGGGCATTCTTGTAAGGATTTGCCTAGGAGTGCGGTTACTTTTGGGAAGCCGGTTTCTCCTGGGAGGGTTGGGGCTTTGAAGGATGCTTATGAGTATGGGGATTGTGTTGGGCAGGTTGGGTTTGAGACGCATCGGACTTTGAGGGGGGTTGAGGTTTCTGTTGGATTTTGAGAATTGCCTGTAACTTATAGGGTCTGGGATACCTTGGCGGATATAAGCTTAGGACTGTGCATTAGGCTAGTTGTGTACTCTGTTTGCATCACGATCTATATTGATCGCGCTAGCATAAATACCCAATGTCTTTTAGTAAACCATTGCGTGTGACAAGTAATTGTAGCTGTTTGTATCATTATAGCCGGGGGTCGTCGACCGCGCAATCTGGAAAACAAATGAAGTCCACTATTTGTAAAATCCAAGAGAAATCAAACTACGTACGTGTTGCTTCGCATAAAACAATTTACTCTTCCAGTTCTCCGTTGTCTGAATAGTCACGAGACCCGTGCTCGCCTTCAAACGCACGTATGTCTCCCCTCTTAACCCCACCAACCTTAAATGATCTAACCTCCACCACAGCCCCTAAGCCATTACATTCCCTGACAGCAACACCACCACCAACACCAAAATGGGAATGAAAGCCCGCTGCCAATGCGGCAAAATTCAATTCACAACCCCAACCGACAAACCCCTAAAACTATGGATCTGCCACTGCACAGAATGCCAACACCAAAGCTCCTCAGCCTTCGGCATCACGGCAACATTCCCTTATTTCGAGCTCCCAGCATCACATTCGGAGCTGGTGAGCAGCTATACCCGCGTTACGCTCAAGGGCCGTGACATGGAGTGCATTTTCTGCAAGAATTGTGGTTCGCGGCTTTTCCATCGCTTCCGGGATTCGGTGCCTGCACCCGGTGAACAGCCGCATTTTTCGGCCATTACCAATGTCAAAGGCGGTTGTTTGGAGGATCTTGATAGGGAGCTATTGAGGTCTGCTGTTCATATTTGGTGTCAGGAGGCCATTGTTGATATTCCCGAGGGTGTGGAGAGATGGGAGGAGGCGCCTCCTAAGCCGAATCCGTTGGTAAATTAGATGTGTCTAGATAACGGTTGGAAATGGGTTAATTTCTTCTTTTTGCTCGGAGCTTTGCAGTAATTACAGGTGTATTGAGGAAATATAGAAGCATCGCTATAAAGAAAACCACACATATACATGTAGCCCTCTTATCCAACAACAGAAGTCCACCCATTATCAATAGCGATAGTCGCCCCATTAATCTGGCCAGCTCCCTTTCCATAAGTCATATTAACACAGAAACCCGCAACCTCGTCAAGATCAACAAGGGGAGCCTGAATCGACTCCAGAATCGATGTCATCTTCTGATACCCTTCCATATGCATACCAGTCTTGAACGCGTCAACGATGTTGGTATTCATACCACCCATCATCAACGCATTACACTTGATCCCCTTGGTCCCATAAAAGGCGGCAGTGTTCTTGGTTAAGCCAATGAGACCATGTTTGCTGGCTGTGTAAGCCGCGCCTGGAAGACAGTATGATCAGTTTCAAGTTCTCTAGATCTATCCATCCCCAGGGGAAACTTCAACTGGAAAAGAGAAGGAATACATACCACTAGCCCACCCAGCTTTCCCAGCAACAGAAACAATATTAATAATCCTTCCATCAACATTTTCCTGCAGCAACATATTGCGGATGGCAAATTTGCTCAACAAAGCCGGAGCAGTAAGATTAAGCGCCATGACACGGTCCCAAAGCTCCATATCCAGATCGCCGATAGGATCGAAGTGGTCCATGATCCCGGCGTTGTTGACCAGGACATCGATTTTGCCGAATGCGCCGACGAGGGTTTCGAATAGAGCTTCTACTTCGCTAGTGTTGGTGATATCTGTCTTGATGGCCTTCAGGGGGCCCTTGGGTGATAATTCAGTTGAGGTCTGTTGGAGGCGCTCGTCGTTGATATCACAGATTACGACGTTGGCGCCTGCTTCGAGGAATTGGCTTGCGATTGCTTTGCCTAGACCGCCGGCGCCGCCGGTGATGAGGCATGTTTTCCCTTTGAGGATTTGGTCGGGCATTTTGATTCTGATTTTGGGGGTACCCAAGTAAGAGAGGGACAGAGAGAGGGAGAGAGAGGTTAGGGGTGGAACTCTACGACTGAAATCTGGGTTACTGAGCTTAAATATCCTTCATTTGCTCAATTTACTTTAGGGGACGGGAGGCTTCTTACCCGCCTTCCGTCTCTGCTGGACACGTTGTTGTCCATATTGGAGTAAGTTGATTGGGGGGCGCCACATTTTCCTGGGTTACGAGCGGCACCGTGGACATCGGACCACTCAAGGAAGCTGACGTTGCCGAGTGGTATTGCGATTACGCGGGTATTGGTTGTTCTAGGTCTGAATATACAGGGACTGGGGGGTGTATATGCGAATTAGCTGTATATCCAGATAGTCGTATAGTCGGAAGTATAACTTGATATAGTTAGCTCGGGTACCGACCACGTTCCAGGTGATTGTATGTATGTTCTGCATGTCTGCGCCGGCCTATAGAGTGGCCGGCAATACACATCGTTGTATCTGTGTCACGTGCTGTCTCGGAAGACTCTCTATCCGAGACCCTAAGCCCTACTTTCCCGTCTGGTATACAGTGTATCCATAGTCTTCGAGTATCAGGAGGCTTAAGAATAAAGAATCTGTTAATCTATGATCTAACCGAACAAATAAGGTGATGAATCGGAAATGGCAATACAGTAAGCCACATTAGAACCCCCAAAAAATGCACAAGAATCAACAAGCCAGCAACGCCCCCATAGAACTCGACTGGTAACTAACCTCGCCAAACAAATACCCAATCATGTTCTTTAGTAATACATGGAAGAATGCAATGGCAATCTGGGCACTTTGGAAACACTCCAAAGTAGCACATATGAAAGAAGATAGAAAATCCCCATGAAGCACGAACGCCAAGATGAGTTGCTAATGAATTCTGGTCTCAAATGAGGAGGGATAGAGAGATGAGATGAAACGAGAGACCGAGAAGCGCACAGCGCGAGGTAAATGCAGAAGAGTAAAGCAAGGACTTCACGATAATCGGATGGAAGTTTATCCCATCATTTTACTCGTTATAATGGTAAACCTAGAGAGCACCATGTTAGCAAACCCAACTCATCAGACGAAAAGGCAAAAAGGGGAGAGGAATAAGAGCAAGCACATACAAAGTAATCCGGCAACCCAATAACCTCATACCCCAACCTCTTAACCATCTTCGCAAAGCCCTCGGTCTCAACAAGATGAAAGAAAGGGAAAGCAGGGAACATTGCCCCATCCCGGTGCACGTCAGCCTTAACCAGTAGCGCCGTGCCCCCAACCCCATCAAGCGCAAGCATCTTATTAGGATTAAGCTTCTTGAAATCAGGCAGGTAAGCCATCAACGTGCGATACGTCGGGATCTCCGCATACCCCTCCAGCAAAATCTCATCAGGGCCCATTTGCGCAGCGAGGTTCTGCGCTTGCTCACTATCAACCCACGAGTTAAAGTCGTACGGCCGTATATCCCACTTCCGCTTCGAGGAGTCGTAATACCGCTGGAAACAATTCGGCACAATGACGGGTTGATCGAAGCTCGTCAAATCTTGGATGAGAGATGCAGGCGTCTCGACGATATCGGCGTCTAGCCAGAGAACCCAAGAAGTGGCCGGACCGAGGGTTGTAAAGACGAGACTATTCCGCGCCCGACTCATCGACTCACGACGCTCCTTCTGCGCGCCAAGTTTATGCCGTTCCTTTTCATTCTGGGATGTGAGTGGTGGTTCGAAATCCTGGCGCAAGATACTGATACTCGCGAACCGACTATCAATAGGGCCAGACTGGGTCTTCGCGATAGCCTTCTCCAGCGCGGCGACAGCAGCATTGCCCTCGGTCGTTTTCGGGGCTATAAAGCCCAACGAGATCAACTCGTGGGGATAGCTCAGTTTCTCCAGGTTATCCCAGTACCCTTGATAAAAGCGGGCTAGCGGGGTGAGGATCAGGACCCGCTCGCCGTTGGCGACGGAATTCGCCGTGCTGGTTAGGCTGTTGAGGTTGTAGTGCACGACTGGGGGTGCGGCTTGGTGGCCATCGCTGCGGATGGCTGGGGATTTGAAAAAGGGTTTCGTGGGTGGAGAGAGGGGGTGTTCGGCGGCGTTTTCTTGTCGTTGTTGTGAGGATGCGGCGGATGCGGATGTGGATGCGGAGGGTCTCGTGGGATTGAGCATGAAGCAAATGAAGCCGAATGCTAGGAGCGCTGCCAGCAGGAGGCTGATTGGGCTCGTGCGGCGCATCGAGCGTGCGACGGCCATTGCCATTTTGGTGGGTTTGAGGGTTTGTCGAGATGTGTTGTTGTCTGGTGATTTCGTGACACCGTTGGAGATCACCTGGTTGCCTCAGGCATTCACGTACACCAATTTACCCTCCGAGATGAGAAACTACTGAGTAGTTCTGTTCTCTGTTCTTTTGGTAAGGAAGTGATTGGAGAAATGGTGTTAGGCTGGAGTTCAATTTTATTCCATTGCAGTTCCGGAAAGAGACGTGGGATCTCATGTCACTCCACTATCTCATCTCAACTGCATGGCCCAATTGCGAATCTCAATTCGTTCGGATTTTCTACCTCCTACGTGTTATCGCGGGATACCTCAATGAGGGTCTCGCCCTGCATCGCCGAATGCGGCCTGTCAGGACATTCCTGAGCATCAGGACCCACCTATCGCAACTTCTGTCTCGCAAACTAACTTTTTCCAACAAAGAATCCATGAGACAATATCCTGGTATGTATATAAGTCTATGCGATAAACGAACCTAGATGTATGTACAAGATCATATTCGCGCCCAATGGCGCGTCATATAAAAAATTAGGGCAAGGTACGCATTACACCCTCGAATGCAACCAAAGCCATCGCATTCGCCGGGAACGCCCTAAGGAAGCAAGGCACAAAGCCCCGCCAGTACCCCTTCAACCCACGCTCACGCCATACAGCCCTAGCAGCGTCCTTCCATCCGCGGAAGCGGCGCTCGCCGTCATTCAGCGCCCCACCCATCGGGTCAACCATGAGGCGCTGCTTAACGACGTCTGACGGGTAGGAAGTGAGCCAGAAGATCTGAGCGGAGATACCGCCAGCCCAGAAATTGATTGCGGGCGCGGACATTGAGGTTGATTGCTTGAAGTAGCGGGTTAGGACGTCGTAAGATCCCCACCAGAAGAAGAAGAAGCCACGGAAGAGGATTGTTGCCCAGAGGCCGCGGTAAACGCCGCTTATGCCATGTGTGCGAAGCTATTTATGTGTTAGTTGACATGTCTGTAAATCGAGGTGTGGTTTCTGCTTGACGTACCATCTTGCGGAGACAGTCAATCGGCCCGCTATACATGCGCTTTGACTTGTCGGCGGCGTACTGGACTTGCAGTCTAGCCTTGATATGTTCAACGGGGGCAGCAATAAAGCTGACCGTCGTGCCGGCCATAATACCAGCAATGCCATGTCCGAAACTCGGGAGTGTAGCAAGGTCGGGCTGGAAGCTCGAGAAAGGGAGGTAAGGGCGGATATGAGGCTTAGAGAAAACATTTTCGAGAAGTAATCGGCGGTACAGGGTCAAAGAACCCAACATGCTGTAGTCGCATAGCGTTAGTTGCCATTCACGAGCAAGTCATAGTCATAGTCACACTCAAAGCGCTGCTCGCCAGGGCAATATGCGACTATGCGACGCCACAGGGGTAGAACCACTTACACAGAATCCATGACCATCCAACCGACCAGCGGCGGCGTAGCACCCTTATACAACCCCTTCACACCCTCCTTCCGCACCGTCTGTAGCGTACAATCCAACGGCCCACGGAACTGGACATCTTTACTCGTTTGTAGTCGGACCTTGACAGTATCGAATCTGCGCGCATCGAGGTTAACCAGCGAACCAAGTCAAATCAAGTCAAGTCAAATTCCCCAGGCAAGGAAAAGAGATCCGAGGGTAAACGACGCGAAATAGATGTACGTACGGATGACCAACTAAAAAAAGCAAAAACGCGCCGATCAGCACAAGTCCCAAGCAATCAAATCAAGAGGAAAAGAGAACCTACCACTCAACTTCGCAATACCCGAAAAGACACCGGCAACAAAACCCTTGTAATTCGATTTGGGAGTCTGTGCATTAACAGGCGCGGTATCCGCCGTATTTGACGGAGCTGAAACGGGCAAAGGCGCCGGCGCCGATGTCATGGTGGAAGCGATAGCCCCACGATCTCGGGTCCCAGATGTGCCAATGCGTCAGAATAGGCCTTGAAATGACGGAGTGCTCGTGCGCGCGGCGATCAAGGTGGCGACGGATGCCGATAAGGATAGTGAGTCCGGGGTTGTTGACAAGGGGGTTGATTCTTTGCAGTGGCTCTTTGGGGTGGATGGGGGTTTTCCTGAGTATGGAGGGTGTAAATAAGGTTGAAATGGGGTAATTGAGGAGGATTGGAGAGTGGGAAAGGGAGAGGTTCGTTTTAATTATTCTTTTGGGCCCCGCAGATTCCTCTCGGGGAGGGTTGGTGTAGCTCCGGGGTCGGTGCCTCAGGCGGTGATCGGATGCTTTGACGACATCTTAGCCCTAGTTTGGTGGGTGTTTTTATCCGGGGTTATCCGTTTGGACTTGGTGTTTGGACCCTAGACTTATTATTGAATGACCTCAGATATAACAGTTGAGTTATGATAGATGCAGGTTACTAGTGTAGGTCAAACCTCACCATCGAGTATAGATGAGAGATGATCAATTGATGGAAAAAGCTAGTCCAAAGCAGGACTGGAGCGGGGTATAAATTTGTAGATACATGACATCGTGATGCAAGATCAACGTGAGCTAAAGCAGAGGACGTTGGTCATTTAAAACAATGATCGCGCAAGATAAATCAGAAAAACAATCCCATGTATACTGGATCGGCAGTCTTGTATGAGTTTCGAAGCTCATTTTGATGCCCAAACACCGAAAAGTTGCAGAAATAGCAAATATGGGTCTTATGCATGAATCCCACTAGGGGGAAAAAAAAAAAAAAAGAAACACAATAAAATATAGAAAACATAACACCATTTTTGATGCAGGAGCGGTGAGAGATGAGACGGTGGAACCGACGCATCAACGGCCCTTGGCAGCCTTGCGAGCCTTTTGAGCCTTCTCTTCGTAGGCAATCAATTTCTCAACAAGTTCAGGCGGGGGTCCGGAGTTCTTTGGGACATCTCGCGGGGTCCGTTCGGATGTGTTGTTCACCAAGCCACTGGTGAGGTAGTCACCCGCCTCCAATGCCAGTGGAGTGACGGGGCCAGGACTAACCAACGGATCCAGACGGGGCGCCGAGGGACCTTGATGGGTATTCTCCATGAACTCGCGGTACTGCCAAATCATGTCCCGTGAGCTGGCAGAAGTACGGTAAGTGGGTTGCCGGGATTGCCGTGGAGAAGGAGGTCCCGTGGTGGACGTAGTGGCATTGGGCTGGTAAACAGCAGGATGGAATCGGGGCAAGTTGCCGAGATGGAAGCCCTGCATGGGCTTTGGCTTTGCTGTGTTCTGGGTTCGAGAACGAGGGGGTTGAGGCGACGTTGAGCGTTGTGGAGACATGACAGGAGAAGCAACCGGGGAGTAGAAGGGCGAGCTATCAGACCGCATCCTTGTCCTTGGTGGTGGGAGCCTGGATGAATAACGGCCGGGACGGTTTGACTGGATTGGTGAAAGGATATGCCGGGACCTCGCGGATTGAGACGCGCGTTCCCAATCGTCGAAGTAGTCGTCGTGGTCGAAACGGCCGGTCAGCGGTGTGACAGGCAAGTCTTCTTCGTAGATTGAACTTGATCTTCTTGGAATGGGAATGGGTCTTGTGGCTGAAGACAGGGAGAGTGACTCAAAGGTGTCGATCGGAATGGCGTCCGGATGGTATGGACGACGGGGCGAAGGGGGAGTATAAGTAGATGAAGTAGCCGTCAAATCCCTTAGTGATGAGAGCGACACGGGTGTGGGGTAACCGTGCTTTATGATCAGACTCTCAAGATGCTCTCTTGGTCGGAATGTCGAGGGCCGGTCGGAGTCCGATGATTGGCCTGCAAGTGGATCAGCATGGGAATGGAATAGGAATGCCACACGTGTTCCAGGTATGAGAGTCTCGCGATAGCCGACAAATTATGTCACGGACGGGAATGTGGACAGGGGTAGGCCAATGACGAAACAGTGGAAAAGATACCCGCTTATAGATACATCCGGGCAGTTGGGAAGGAGATGGGATAGGAGAAGAGGGAGGATTGACTTACGGGACAGAGAACTGCGTGACGAGGGATAGAGAGAGGAAGAAGAAGAAGAAGAAGAAGAAGAAAAAGAAAAGGGAAAAGGGGAATCAGAGTGTTTTCTCATCTGGGACCCGTTAGTGTGCATTAAGCACCCGCAGGACACTTGCGGGGAGTCCCACTATGGCATGGAATGTCGTCACGTTTTGTATTCTACATAGTATTAGGGTCATATAACATATACACACTGGTGTGAAAAAAACAATAGAAATGGACCCGTGTATCAATCAACCAAAAAACAAAACAGATATACATACTGTCAAAGATGCAACTTTCTATACTTCAAAATTATCGCAATGACGAATGTGCCGTTGCAGTGGGGCCCCGGAAGAAATCAGAACTTGGCCTGGAACAAAATGTGGAAATTTTTCTCACTTCCTCGAGGGCATTCTCTCCTCTTTAAAGAGCCCAGGCACCTGTGAAACCCTCACACCTTTCCCCACGCGCAATAACCCGGTGACCAAGGTCTTCCAAGGCACAGTCTGAAACTAGTTCTTCACACTATGTGAACAAGATCATCTACGATCGAAGAATAGAGAACCGGGCAACGGGGGATGAAGATCCCCGTGCAGTCGCGGTTGATCGGCCGGGGGTGTCATGCGAGGCGCCTGGTCATTTCTACAGTACAGTAACTCACACGCGTCTTGACTCACCAACAGTGACGTTCCGGGTACCGACTCAGGTCAGCCAGGCTGCATCTTTGTAAAGCCAATCTAAAGCGAAAGCCACCTATCCGTGCTGCAAGGGCCGTCGCGTCACCCGACACCTATCACCACGCGTGGAAGGAAACTGTTGATGCTGACTGGCTGTGGACAAAGGGTAAATCTCCCTTTTGGACTCCCGCTATACACCCTCATTCTGCTCTGGGGTGCGTACATGTCTTGGGTTCCCGTCCAAGCTCCCATCCACCAACTAGCTACCCCCTGGATCAGTGCCACATCTGGTAGGCTGCAGAATAGGATATCTTTAGATCTGTTGGATTTACATAGAAACTGCCTAGAAAAATATAGTACTATAATTTGAGTGTGTGCGTGTCGGATGAGCCGGAGAGTAACAGCTGAACGATACGATGACCCCGTTACAGTCACGGGCTTAGCCCAGTAACAAACAGCAGAAAAGGCAGAAAAAGCAAAGAGTAATCGAACTCGGCTTAAACGGGTTACTTGCAGAATGGGCTGGTGGTTTCATCATCGGAGACAAAGCTGCATGTCTCCTATCACCCACTAAGAACACATCGTTGGGTTTGGGTCAGTTGGAAATCATCCCCGAATCAATCAGGCTGTGGTTTATCCACTGACTCACCTATTATTGGAAGAAAAGTCGGCTTTGCCCCTGCATACCGGTCTCTGCAGACTCTCGGACTTATTCCCTGTACTACATCCGGAGAAGGCAAAATCTACGGGCCATATACACCGGAATTCTAATTCCAAACATGATTGTGGGCAACTAAGACCTTTTTGGCTTTATTGAAGTTATCACCTAATATGGTGAGACTGTTCCTATTCTGAGTGCGCGTCTTGCCCAGCCAACAAAGCATGCAGTCTCCGACTAGTGTAAATATGATTTCAAAGTCATTCAGCCAGAGATACAGTATACATTTAGCTCCTGTCTCTGCAGGACCCACAACAAAACTTCAATTCAGACCCCGTAACCTAAACCTACACATTGTATGGAGTAAGCAACATTTTTAAACATCAGCCAAGACCCACCTCTACAGAAGACCCAGAAGGCAAGCTGCACAAACCTATTGTATCTCCTCAAATAACAAGCGCATAGCGATCCACCCATCCGCTGTCCTATAATCGGATCCATCCTCCAGCCCGGGACACTTGTCACCCCCCATGCGGTCGGCTCATTCTTGAAGCACACCAGATAATTCAATATCTCAGCAAAGCGGGGTGTTTCGCTCTGTCTAATGTGGCTTATGCACTCGTCGAATAAAGCGTCCTTAGCAGCGGCTTGCTGCAGGGTATTTCGGGCTGAGGGGATAGTAGGGTGAGATAAGGTGAGACTGATGCAGGTAGGCGGGGTAAGGGTAAGGGTGGAAAGTACAGTAGTGGTGGAAATGCCGTGGGTCAGCTATTGTATAGGAGGGATTGTGAATATGCCTGGGCACGAATGCTGGCAGGGCTGCTTATCTGTTGGTGTGCTGGGACCTCAAGATGGTTGGATTGGTGGGTTATGGCGACTTGTTTGGTGTGTGTTGTGTATTTTACTATGATTCGATCCTTTTCTCCTAGGTATCCGCTATCGTGATGGAAGTATAGAAGCTCCTTTATCTCTTTTGCATTAGCGTCAGAAGTCAATCCCGAGAGATGCAAGCAGATGTTGGAGGAGATTGGTGGTTGTGGGGGAGCTTAGGTGGGTTATGCTGCCCATTCTAGCCATTGCTGATGCCCAAAACACGCCATCGAGATGTAGACACGTGTGATTGGATACTTCTCCTGGAAAAGCTAGCCGTAGGTTATCTTTCTCGGTTCTTTAACACACTCGTTTCATCGGGTATAGTCGATCTTGGACCTAGTGAAAAAGAATCGTTTTCTATAAATTTGACACATGTTAAGATCAAACTGTTTACCCAATTAGGCAGCTAGCAGAAGAGCGTCTCTAAATTCTCAACAATCTTAGTGCCTGACTCCGTGGCTTTTCTAGTGTTATTACGTTGTCCAATGATATAATTACTCATAGGTCTAACGCCGTGTCGAGCTAGTAGATGGACCACGGAAGTCTGGCCGATACTCTCTAGCTTCTCAGTCGACGACTACCTAACAGGAAACCCTTGTCAAAAATCAGCTCTACCGCTAGTAGAAGACCACGCCGGGTATGGAAATCAGAAAGACTGATTCACGATTCATGGATCTATGACATATAAGTGTGGGCACCGTTGATGCGGAGAACTTCAGATACTTCTAAATTCCCGATAAGCTCATGTAATGATATACCTGTAGTCCTGTTCCAACAACCTCAGTGAGAATGAGCGGTGGAACCACCCGGGTTCGAAAGGATCGATCGAGTAGCTCGCAAGACCAGCGCTTCCCACCATCGCAAGACGGAGACCAATCAAGTAGGAATTACTTCGTAAAAACCAGAAAACTGCCATATCTTCTATCCTAGTATTGGCGAGCTGAAATTCGGATTCTTCTGCAGAAGTGCGCGCCATTAGCCCTACATAGATCATTATACACGTCATGCCATAGAAAATATAGCATCCTTCATAAGTGACCCGTAAGTTCGCAGTATATTCTCCCGTCATTATTTCTCCATCTTATACACTTTCCAACTTTCAAATCCTTACGACCAACAAAACAACCAAAGGAGCAAATTACGACAAAATTCGTCTCAGCAGGATGCAATTGGGAGATGGGGTCAAAACATTGGTCTGTAATATGGAGGAATGGCAAATACGAACGTAGAGCTTACAGCGAACTTTGTTATGGTAGCACCAGTGTAGTGGTAAAACTTGAATTTGGTGCTTTTCTCTCTCATTGTTTACCTCTATCAGTTCAAAACAGTAGTTATTGATTCACTTGCCGATCCAATATTCCCGCGTTATCGCTAGGTCGAGTTTCTTATATACTCCTTTGATCAACATGCAATGTGCCGGGGTATACCAGCAGATAGAAATCAGTCATTTTGGTTAGATATTTAATCCCAAGAAATGCTAGAGAGGTCGTTAGCAAGCATCCAATAGAAGGATAACATAACAGAAAGCTTACGCAAGCATAATCCCCGCACCCAGAGCAACAGCCAAAAACTGGGTAATAGTCTTCCGCACCTCAAGGCCCTTATCCTTACCAGTCTCGAGCAGCTCGGGAATGACAGCTACAGTGCCGACATAAAGGAATGTGCCAGCAGTGAAAGGCAGAAGCATATCACCCCAGGTAAGGCTAGTGCCCATAAGACCAACAGCAGGACCATCATCCAAAATAGTTCCATTACCACCGAATTCCTGCACGGCAATTCCAATAATGGTACCCAAGAAGGCTCCGATGGCAGTAACGAATTGTGCACCCATAGCCTTGCGCTTAGAAAAACCAGACTGAATAAGCAGAGCAAAGTCACCGACTTCATGGGGAATTTCGTGGAAGAAGACAGCGACAGTGGTGGTTGCGCCGATAGTAGGCGAGGCATAGAAGGAAGAGGAAAGGGCAAGGCCGTCGGTGATATTGTGTGTAAAATCAGCAATTAGGTTCAGGTATCCGCCGAGCTTGACGCTAGGGTTGATCTCCTTCTCTGAGGTGGCATCAGACGAGGAGGAAGAAGATTCCTTGGCGGCCGACTTGCGCTGCTTCAGCTCGCCGCCGGACTTCTTGGACTCGACGCTGGTGGTAGTCGCGGCAGTGACCTCAGCATGTGTGTGGCCGTGCGCATGGTCGTGACCCTCGCCGCCTGTTGCGATGCGCAGGATCTTGTCCATTGCTACGAAGGTGAAGAAGCCGACCATAATGCCGAGACCGAGTAGGAGGTTCTTGTTAGGCTCGACCATAACGAAGCTGACGTGGTCCGGGGAGTCTTCACCGACGAAGATCTCTGGCAGGAGGTGGAAGAGGGTGTCACCTAGCAGGCCGCCGACGGCGAAGGCCACCATGACGGACAAAGAGGAGGGGTCGATGTTTGGTGGGCATAGTGCTAGGAGGAAGTCTGTTGCGAAGTAAGTTGACTAGTCACAATTGCGAGCTTGACGCATCGCTTGGTCACCGAGAGACCTACTAGGAGGACCGGAGATGTACAAGGTTGCAAGAAGCGCGTTCACGGCGGGACTGCTGGGGAAGAGAACAGCGAAGATCTTCGAGGTCAGGCTGGTAGTTTCCGGGCTAGTAGCACGTTTGTGCTCATTGAGAGATTCAACCAGCGGGCAGCTCTGTGGGAAGTCAATTTCTGTATCGACTGCAAGCTAGTTGCACAAACAGTATCATACCTGCAATTGGTCCTCGATCTGGCTCACGGAGAGCTCTCCGGGACCAGCATTAGCTGCAGCTAAGGCCGAGAATAACAGACATCCTGCAGCAATAGCAAGGCCCGTTCTGCGCGATGGAAAGAACCGAGAAGCCATTGCAAATAAATCTGGGGTGAGTGACAGGGGGACAAAACATGGGAGTACAACAGATCCGCTTTATCGGTGGTCGGACCACTTTATCGCGGGACCCTGAGCAAACATGCCAAGGCTTGCAAACTCAGAAAAAAAGTTTCGATAACGCTTGATTTTATTATCGACAACAAAGAACTCACCATTTGAACACTCTCGACATTCACAATGGGAAAGGTTTTGCAGAAGAAGAAGGCCCGCTCTGGGCGCTCCAAGGCCCGCGCGAAGGATAACCGCCTCAAGAGCGGCCACAAGAAGATCAATGTCCTAGGCAATCAGATCATCGCCGACAACTGGTATGCGGCTGCTATTGTTCTACTCACAGCGAATTGAAACTAACACATAATGCAGGGATCGCAACCTGACCCTAACACAAAACTACCAGCGCCTGGGTTTGATGCACAAGCTGAACGCCCCGTCCGGTGGTCGCGAACGTCTTCCCGGCAACGAAGAGGAATTCCCCGAGAACCAGAACTCGCTCCACATCAAAGGCAGCGCCAAGGAGGCCGCAGGCAAGCTCCAGCTCGGTGAGACAAGAGTTGAGCGCGACCCGGAAACCGGCAAGATTTTGCGTGTCATCCACGACGACGTCGACAGCATTCAGGTTGCAGGCCGCCAGCACCCCCGCAAGAACCCCCTCAACGACCCTCTGAACGACATCTCCGACGGCGAGATCGAGAGCAACCCCCTCACCGACTCGATTGTTGTGCAGCAGCTCGAGCGCCAGGCTGATCAGGAGGGCAAGACTGTTCGGGCTAAGAAGCCTCGGCACCAGAGCAAGCGTGAGGAGGAGTGGGTTCTGCGCTTGATCGAGAAGCATGGCGATAACTTTACTGCTATGGCCCGGGACCGCAAGCTTAACCCTATGCAGCAGAGTGAGGGTGATTTGCGGAGGAGGATTAACAAGTGGAAGAAGACTCAGGCTTGATCGGGCTTGTATCTCTATATTTTTATTCTGTGCATCCGGGTTGGGCGAGTCTGGCGTTATATTCTTGTTTCTTCAGGGTCCATTTGTCAAAAGTGCCTATCTACATGGATGTATGTGTGTGGATGTGAATGTCCCAAGCAGTATATATATTTGTTCAGTAATGGACGGCAGGCTGAGCTGCCGCTTCTGAGTGATTTCATTATCTCGTAATTCTGATTAGTTGCGGTTCGGCGATGACAGCGTCGAGTAGGTGAGAACCCCCGCCGGCGGAAGACTGATTCGTTGCACTACTCGTACCCATCGGCGCCGTCTCCATTCTCCAACACCGAAAGATGTAGGTGTGCCTTCTTCCCAATCCCGGCCAGAGGACTTGTTCTTTTCCTTATCCTTAGTGGTCTTCTTTTTCTCTTTGGGCGAAGAAGACTCCGGCGGCAGATCCCCGTAGGCTAGCGGGAGCTCATCATCTGTATCCTGTGAACGGGCAGGGGGCAGATCCCAAACCCAACCACCAACTTCATCTACGATAGCATTGCCTTCGGCGGTCACACCAGGAACTTCGAAACCAACTCCGGTGATCATACGCTCCACAACCCATTCGCGGCAGTCCAGGTCGAGTTCCCACTTTTTGCTCTTCCAGTTCCAACCAGATGGGGCCCGAACATCCTCAAAGAATCGACATCCGCGAGGACGATCTCCGGCAATGCGAGAGGGTGAGAGCGGGTCATACGGCGCGTGACTGAACAGGAAACTCTCCCATCCTGACTCCGATGTTCCTGCAGCCCGGTGCTGCACTTCAAAGATCTCTACCTCGCGCTCTTCCGGGTCTGTATCTAGCGAAATGTCTGCGAGCTTTTCCAGGGAGGACATTGCCGCAGACGGGTTTGCGGGCATTGATGCAAACCCATTCGAGGTTTTCTCGTCGTCTGCAATCGAGTCCGTGTCTAAAGAATCGCCAGCCATGTCTTGCAGCAGGTCCACAAAGAATTGCCGGACAGTTGGGTGAATGGATAGAATCGCTGCATTGCCGCCGACTAGCAGGACAAGCTTCACGGGCAAGAGATGTGCGCTGATGAACAATACCACAGTAGCCACTGTACAGCCCAAGAAGAGAGCGGATGAGAGCTTCTCATTCGAGAAATTCGTCAGTGGTGCAACTACAGAAACGGTTGCATCGTGTACGTCTGAGAAATCGGCCATGACGTTCTGGAGATCTCGCATGTTCCGTAAAAAGTCCTTGGAAGTCTCTGGTGCTGGCTTAATGGTCCTTGCTGGTGCCAACGCCGGCCCATCATAAGAATAGTAGGGAGTAGTGCTGGAAGTGGAGGTATTTGGGGGTGGTGGGTGCCGAGTCACAAAGGCTGGTACCATAATGAAAAGCAAGAGAACCACCAAGGGTAGGATCAATAGTAAACGGGGGTCCAAGCAGATAAAAGAATAGACAAAAAGGAGCGAGAGGGTATGGGTTGGTGTTTCCCATGTTAGCACTCGCTCAACCTGGCTCTGGAACAGAAATACCACGCCGATTCTATAGCAGTTTTAGTTTCGGTGGATACCCAAACAGCATGTTTCAGGCTCACCTGGCATTGAAACGACGGAAATTGTTCGCCATCACCGGCAAACTAAAGGCCGGTTTCTTAGGGGACGAGGCAAAGGCCTTGTCTCCTGACTCGGTTTCATCCTCGTCGTCTTTCGGGATGACTTGTTGGAGGAGTCTGTGGGCGTCAGTGTTTGTTTCCGTAAGTTCCAAAATATAGTGAAAATGATCTTGAAAGGCAATGCCATGTAGCACCTACTTTGTGAATAAACGATCTTGCAGTGAGTTCTTGGATAGAGAGGACGATCTCGAGTGCGAGCTGTCTGGTGAACCCGGCCTATCGCTCTTCGATTTAGAAAAGGATAACCGTGGCTCATCCCGGGTTGCCGGGGGGATAAATTCATCCATGGCAGTTGGACTTCACAGACATATCAGAGGGATGAAGGAAGAGAAGAAGAGAATGATCCGGCAATGAGTCCACGGGTGTATTGTCCATGTGAAGGTGCCGATCTGGGGAGGCTGACATAAGCACTGTTTGCATCAGGGGAACCTAACGTTGGAAGTTGATGCTTGTTTCTTTTCTTTCTCTTTGAGGTTTTGGTGCTTTCCTTTGATCTCTGATCTTTCCTTCTTTACTGTATAAAAGTCATCTCTGCGACGTTGGAGGGCTTTGTTTTGTTGTAACCCCCATTGTCTTCTTTTTCCACCGCCTTGGACTTGCCCCAGCAACCCTCGAAGCTCCAAAATTATTTCGTGCCAGGTTCGGATCAAAGAGAACTTGCCCTGGTACTGCCTTTTCTCTCTCCTCGCGATGGACCGGTAACTGTTGTTCGGGTCGCGCGACGGTGCTCAAATTTCTCCCCTATTCTGTTTATTGAGACCTCGCACTTCTCCTGAATGCAATTGCGACTCCCTGGCACAGTCCAGTTCTCTTTTTTTCTTCAACGAGTTGACGAACCTCCTTTTACACCGGAGGATACATGGATTTACGAACAATGCCGGCAAAACCGCAGACCCCGGGGAGGGGTCCAGCGCGGGCAGAGCAGCCAGGTGCATCCTATGCCTCGAGGAATGATGATTCAGGGTCTGGAGGTATGTTATGATGTACCGCGCGGTGCAGTTTGAGGCTGACCATTTTAAACAGCAGAGGCTCCAGCCCGCAGACGCCTGCAAAAGTCGGCCTCGACCAATTTCCCCTCCAATACATCCACCGATTTTGACGCCCAATACTCAAAAGGGGTTGCTGGTCCGCGCGCAGGTGGGATGGGTAGGAGAAGACTTTCAATTCGAGACCAAAAGGTCCCACAAGGCCCGCGACCGCAGGAGGCTTCACGATGGAGGTATGTTTTCTCCACGTTCTGTCCTCATAAATAGGGTGTCCGTCTGTGGTGATCTTCTGGCTAACGACCAACATCAAACAGCAAACCGACCGGTTCATACGCTCATTCTGGAACATCATCAATTGACTCTACGAACGACTCGACTAAAGGCTTGAACCTTCGATCTACCAGTGTGGGAAACCTCGCGAAGTTGGATGCCAACCAAACGCCCCCGGACAATTTGGATTTCCTAGCGCCTATTAACTTTGACGACTTTCACAACAGCATCATGGCCGAACCCAGCTTGAACCACTTTCCTATGCCGGGGCACGGGGGTGCAGAGAATCACGCAACTGGTCTTGGGGTAAATCCTTGGGCAAACCACACCTACAGCAACGTATCGGATCGCACACGAAATGCTTCTGCTCGCCGGAAGAGTGAAGTACAGCGTCCGAATGGCCAGGTCCCCACCAACACAGGATTGTCAGCATCTACTGCCAACACTCGCGCCCGCCGTCAGAGTTTAGCCCAACCGGCTGGTGGCACCAACACTGCTTCGCGGGGCTCCCGCAAGTCGATCAGCTCGGGCGCATTTGCTCCTACAAATGCATCCGCAAGACGCGCCAGTCTGAGTGCCCGCAAGATCAGCACCGACACCACACGGACGGAGTCGAGCAATTTCCTGCGTCCTCGGCTTCCAGAAGCTAATCGCGATGAAAGCAAGGTCCCGTCGTCCGTTCGAAACCTAAAGGCGAAGTCATTCCAGCCCAGTCCGCGAGACCCTCCTGGTCCATTTTTGACTGCGTCCGGAGCCGTTGACCACACCCGATCATCCTCCACCAATGCCGTGAGAACCCCGATCAAGAACCCTGCTGGTGCCGCGGCTACGACACCTTCTTCGGCCTCCAAGCGTGCTTCTGTTATGCCGCCCCATGCCACGGGGCTCGGTGCTCGTACCATTAGCCCTACTGATGCACGGCGGATGAAGCGAATGTCAATGGCACCCCCTGCCCCTCCTATGCCACATACACCACCTACCCAGACAGAACCACTTCCCATCCGTCCTGTATCGTCAACCCAATCTCCCTCTCAAATTCCGAGAAAAAGCGTCACACCTTCTTCAAACCGGACTACGCCCGACCCAAATCGCAAGTCGTACAGCTCAGGATTATCTGTCTCCTCGAGCACCAGTTATAACTCGGCACGGAACTCTGGAAGCTCTCTTCAGAATCGTCTCTCACAGAACTTTTCCTCGTCGCGACTTCCTACACCGAAACCGCGTACAGAGCAATCAAACTCAAATGGAGAAGAAGTTCCACCTGTGCCAGCCATTCCTAAAGCCTACGAATCACCAAAGGGCGAATTGGACGCGCCTGTTTCCCCGGCCCCGAGAAAATCAAGTATTACAACGGATATCGGCCAGTTGAGTATTTCACGAGATTCAGACTCTGACGCGCAGCCTGCAACCAAGACTGTCGAAGTTGAACCACCTGATAATTTGACTGAAAATTCGACAAAGGCACCCGAGTCACGATCACGGACTTCTACTGTGCTGGGTGGAAGAAAGGGTCTGCAGCCTTTGAAACTCCCTCCTTTGAATTTGTTGCCCTTGGGCACGCCTATGGCGGCCAAGATCGAGGCACTGAAGGATAGGGACTATGACGACCGAAAAGCCCACACCCCGTCCAACCAGGTTATGTCGAAGACGCCTAGTACTCCGATGACAGCATCCAAAGCAAACTTCTGGAGTTATCGCGACGAAGATGAGCACGTGCCTCTCACTCAAGCTCGAAGCAGCACCTCTCACTTTGCTGTCAGCTCATCAACAGCCGCGTTGCGGGCGTCTAGTAGTTCCAGCGCGTTTGAATCTTTCGAAACGCCAAGTTCGACGCGTAATATCTCTCCTTATGCCTCGTACACGTTGCCCAAGAGTGGTGCCGACCTCAATCATCTCCGCCACCAGGCTAGTGGTGATTACTCGAGTCGGGTGCAAACACACAAGTTGAACGGACCCCGGCCTCAAACCCAAAGTGCCATGTTCACCCCCGCACCAGAACGACTCAGTCAGATATCAACACCTTCTGAGCCCGAAAGTGTCACTGCGTCGAGCTCCTCGCTGCGAGACCGCCTCAAGGTAGCCCGTATTCGCAGCAACTCGAGGACACAGAAAACATCCGAAACCGAAACAGACCCAGCCAAGTTCAACCACATGCCGCCACCTAAACTCCCGGCTTCTGCGACGTGGAACAATCTGTCTTCGGTCAGCTCGACAAGCCCCAGTCTCAAGCCGTCCTATCTCAATCCTCGGCGACAGTCGTCGGTTTCAAGTGCAACAAACCCAGCTGCCCGGAAACCCAGTGTCAGCAGTGAGAAGAGTCTTAACCTGGAGCCGAGTCCTTCGAATGAGTCTGGCGATAGTGATCGACCTCAAAAGCGTGTGACGAGCACTTACATCTCTCCGGTACATAAGATGATCAACAACGCCCGATCCAGTGCTGCAGCTGCTCCTCGGTCCGCCGACACCAGTGTCGATGCCGATGTGGTGATTGCTGATGAGGAGATGAAGCGACTTGGCTCTAAACGCAAAGACTTCGAAAAGGCAGCAAGAGTGTTAGATGATTTACGCCGCAAAGCTGGACCAAAGGACCGTGTTAGTCCGGCCCAGGCTCTGAAGATGGCAAATCTCAACATCTTTGAGCGAGGCGAGATTATTGATTATCGTGATATCTTCTTTTGTGGTACTCAAACTGCCAAGAAGCATGTTGGTGACCTCCACTCTGGTGCAGCGAACTTTGGATATGACGATGATCGTGGTGACTACAACATTGTAATGGGTGACCATTTGGCCTACCGGTACGAGGTTGTGGATGTTTTGGGAAAGGGCAGTTTTGGACAAGTCGTGCGATGCGTCGATCACAAGACCGGCGCCCTTGTTGCGATCAAGATTATTCGCAACAAGAAGCGGTTCCACCAACAAGCTCTCATTGAGGTCAACCTCCTTCAAAAATTGAAAGAGTGGGATCCCAATGGGAAGCACAGTGTGGTCAACTTCACTCAAAGCTTCTACTTCCGTGGTCATCTCTGCATTTCCACAGAACTCCTCGGCATGAACCTCTACGAGTTCATCAAGGCACACGAATTCCGAGGCTTCTCATTGAAGCTGATTCGTGTTTTCACCAAGCAAATGCTGAGCAGTCTTGTTCTATTGCACGCGAAAAAGGTGATCCATTGTGATTTGAAGCCCGAGAACGTCCTTCTCGTTCACCCAATGAACTCGGAGATCCGTGTCATCGACTTTGGTTCAAGTTGCTTCGAGAATGAAAAGGTCTATACCTACATTCAAAGTCGTTTCTACCGTTCCCCAGAGGTTATTCTTGGAATGTCCTACGGTATGCCTATTGATATGTGGAGTTTGGGTTGTATCTTGGCTGAGCTGTTCACGGGCTATCCCATCTTCCCTGGAGAGAATGAGCAGGAGCAGCTTGCCTGTATCATGGAAGTCTTTGGTCCTCCCGAGAAGCACTTGATCGAGAAGAGCTCCCGCAAGAAGCTATTTTTTGATTCTCTTGGCAAACCACGTTTGACTGTGTCCTCCAAGGGGCGTCGGCGTCGTCCAAGCTCCAAGGAACTTCGGCAGGCTCTTAAGTGTGACGATGAGGCCTTCCTTGATTTCATCACTCGCTGTCTCCGCTGGGACCCAGCTCGTCGACTTTCGCCCCACGATGCACTGAAGCACGAGTTCATCACTGGAGTCAAAGCTCCCGCTCGGCCTCGGATTTATGCATCGAACTCGCCCTCCAAGCGAGGACCCACGTCCTCAAGTCGCCCGCTCCCTGAGCCCCCGGGCACAACACTAAAAACCGGGACCTACGCGCGCTCTCGCGATGTCTCAGGCACTTCCCCTGTCAAGAGCACCAGCGGAAAACGCCACTCGACCATTAACGGTCCACCGTCCAGCCCCGCCAAGCGAGCGTCCAACAATACCACTACCTCGGGATCTGCACTTCCTCGTGTCTCTACACGAAGTATCAGTGGGAAACCCGACCTCGCTACTGCGGCGGCCGCGACAAGCCTAGTGAGTTAGGCCAGGCAAATAAAGTGTCGAAGAATGGGATACTGACCAGCTGACAGAGGAAATGATTTCTTTGCATGTCTTTTATGAATGCTCTGTAATAATAACTTTGTTTTTACACTTTTCCCCTTCTATTAAACTTGCATCGGGTGGTTTGTGTCAGCATTTGTCTATCTGGTTCGGTGGAACCCTTGATATGCATGATTCATGTTAATACCCCCTTTTTGTGATTGCATTTGCATTGCGCCTGTGATGAACTTGTGGAAGTCGATTGCTTATACCTTATCTTTTGCTTATGCATTTCCTTTCGTTCCGTTTATACTTGATGACCCCATTCAGGCTGACGCCTGTGTACATTGTTATCTCTTTGCATCCCTTCAAGAGCCCATGAAGTATGCTCCAGTAGAGCAAATTTACCGTTATGTCTTAGCTTGTATAGTCGAATTAATGACTGTCCGATTTTACATGGAAGAACTAGATTTAAAACTACATCTTAATGTCTAATAAATGTAGAAAAACAACTTATACTCGAGAACATAGATAATGCCAAGCATGCAGGTACATCTCGGACGCGCAATCGGGCTACTTGGCCTCATCGTTATCTTATTTACTCCACTTCTCCAACTCTTCCTCTTCATGGGCAATTGATTTCACAATGAATGGCTTCGACTCAAAGGGCCTCGACGAGGATGCCTTCGGCGAGAAGTCCAATCTAGCAGGTCTAAAGACCTTTGATGCTTTCCGTGAGTAGCTACACTCCATACAATGCCACCTCATCACCAACCTCACAATACAACAAAACACAAGCTAACAACACCAAGCCAAAACCAAATCATCCTACACAACCCCAACCCGCAGCGGCGGCGTATGGACCGTCCTAATCCTAATAATCTGCACGATTTTCAGCATCTCAGAACTAAAAACATGGTGGCGCGGCACAGAACACTACCAATTCAGCGTTGAAAAAGGCGTCTCGCACGAACTCCAACTAAACCTCGACATTGTGGTCTACATGCCCTGCGACGAACTCCGCGTGAACATCCAAGACGCAGCAGGCGACCGCATCCTAGCAGGCGAGCTCCTCAAACGCGACAACACAAACTGGGACCTATGGATGGCAAAGCGCAACTACGAAACCTACGCCGGCGCCCACGAATACCAGACCCTCTCCCATGAGGAAAATGACCGGCTCGAGGAACAGGAGGCCGACTCCCATGTCCGCCATGTCCTCGGTGAAGTGCGCCATAATCCCTGGCGGAAGTTCCCTAAGGGTCCGCGGATGCGACGCGGCGATGTGCCGAATGCTTGTCGGATTTATGGGAGTCTTGAGGGAAATAAGGTGCAGGGTGATTTCCATATTACGGCGAGGGGGCATGGATACCGTGAGGTTGGGGCGCATCTTGATCATTCGTGTATGTATACACACCCTCCACCCTCCACTCTTCACCCTCCCACCACCTCCCTCACCTCAAAACACCTCTAGCTAAGACTAACTCCACATCCAGCCTTCAACTTCTCCCACATGATAACTGAACTCTCCTTCGGCCCGCACTACCCAACCCTCCACAACCCTCTCGACAAGACAATCGCCGAAAGCGACTCCCACTACTACAAGTTCCAGTACTTCCTCTCAGTAGTACCGACCCTCTACAGCCGGGGCAAGGGCGCGCTCGACGCATACACTCGGTCCCCAATGTCCGCGGCGGCACGCTCAGGCCGCGACACAGTCTTCACGAACCAGTACGCGGCTACGAGTCAGTCCGGCGCGATTCCCGAGTCGCCGATGGTTGTTCCGGGTATCTTTTTCAAGTATAACATTGAGCCGATTCTGCTGCTGGTTAGTGAGGAGCGCACTGGGTTCCTTGCGCTTCTTATTCGGTTGATTAATACTGTTTCTGGAGTTCTTGTTACTGGTGGGTGGATTTATCAGATCTCGAGTTGGGCTGGGGATGTTTGGGGGCGGAGGAGGGGGAGGTCTATGGACGGTTATTTGACTGGGAAGTCTGCTTCGGATTGAATTGAGTTGGGGTGTGCGTTGAGTGCATTGGAATGGGTGAAGCGTGTTAGATTGATACTTTGGGGTTTTGTTTTTGCTTAAGTTTGAGTTTTTTGCATCTGCTTCTTATACTGGTGTTCATGAGATATCCTACGAAACAATCTATGCATTAGGAGTTCTGTTCAGTTCTGTTCTCTTTGCATAATCATTCAATTGGTAGAGAGGACCAGCTACGGTAACGTCGAGCCCAGCCTCGTGGTATATGTAATAACGGATCGTACATCCCATCCCATCCCGCTCGCCATGTCAAAGTAACTCAAGATGAAACAAGTCAAGTCATGTTCAAACCTCAAAGATCTCACCCATGCCTACGCCAGCGCCCTCGGCGCCAGCGCGACTATCAACAAGATCCAATCTCCAGCCATTCCAGTCGCGCAGCTTGCTCTTGATATCGCGCATCCATTCGACGCGCTTACGAGCCTCCTCTTCAGCCTGTGCTCGGGCAAACGCATCCTCATCGAATTCATCATCCAGGTTTTCTTCGGAGACAAGCTCGAGACTGCCACGTGTTCCGGCGGGATGAGGCGGGTTAGAAGATGAAGCGCGGGCGCGGTTCCCACCCCCTCCTGTGAACGCAGCAAAGCCGCTAGAGAGCACTGTCGAGAAGGAAGAGTGTTGTTGCTGGCCCATGCTACGGCGGCGAGCATGGTCAGGCCGTCCACCAACAAGATCGACGTCGTCGAATGCATTGGCTGCATCGCCGGAGCCAGGGCTAGGCCCGTCCTCCGGGAAGTGCTCGGACAGTTCCTGGCGCTTCTCTTGCCAGACACCACGGCGTAGATCGAAGACCTCGCCTTCCAGCTCGCGGATGCGACGCTCCAGACGCTGGCGTTCCTCATCTTCGAGTTCATCCAGGGCATCGTCGTCGACGCCTCCGCTCGTCTCGCGGGTGCGTACGCGGTCACGCTCTTCGCGGAGTCTGAGGTTCTCGTTCTCGATGCTGGCGAGCTTTTTGCGCATGACGGCGATTTCTTTGTCGGTCTTCTCGCTCTCGCGTTGACGGGTTTGGTGCCGGGCCTCGGCTTCTTTGTGGAGGTTGCCCATTGCCTGGAGTTTCTTATCCAGCGTTTCGATCTTCTTTTCTGATTCCGCCTTTGCAGCCTTGTGCTCTTCGATCTCACGTTGGAGGTCCTTGATCAGTGTTTCGGTGGAGGTCTTGTCGACGCCTTCCTTGACTGCTTTCTCGGAAGCTCGCGTTAACGCCTGCTTCGTGTCTGCCAATTCGCGCTGAGACTTCTCGAGCTCTGTCTGGGCTTTCGAAACCTTCTCCTCTAACGCAGCAACCTGGGACTCATGTTCGTGGTTGGAAGACGTCTGGGAAGTGACCTGGGCACGCAGATTGGAGATCTCCAGCTCCATAGCTTCGATCGTAGCCGACTTAGACTCAAGTTGGCGAACAAGATCAGTCGGCGGCGACTCTGAAGTGGCACTTGCATTGCGATGTTGCCGCGTCTGGAGTTGTGAGTTTTGCCGCTGAAGAGACGCAATCTCCTCTTTCTATTCAAGCAAGTCAACACTGATCTCAGACGTAGATCATCAAAGAGCATACCAATGCATCAATACTAGCGACCTGTTCCTCGGCCTTCTTCAGCTGCTCCCTCAACTCCGCACCATCAACACTAGCCTCCCGTAGATCCTCCACCTGTTCCTCAGTCTTGCGCCAGCGCGAAGTCGCATCCGATAGATCCTTCTCCAACCGCTTATTTTCCTTCTCGAGCTCTTCAATCTTCGTAGACTGTTTGCGGAACACTTCGTGGACTGACTCCCCATCTCCGGTCAGGGGCGGTAATGAAGCTGCGGGGGACTTGAGTGTTGCAGACGGGGAGGGAGACACGCTGCCTTGAGAAACAGATGTCTTGCGGAATGACGAAGATCGCATCTTAGACTGGATCGACAAGGATGGTTGTCGGCTATGGTTGGCGCGCGGTGTATCGAGTCGGGTGGGTAGTGGCTCAGCATCTGAGCCAGGAGATGTGGGCGCTGGAGGCATTGGTTCAACAGGGGATTCGACAGGCGCATCGACCCCCTGCTGTTCTTGTGGCTGTTGTGATTCCTCTGCTTGTTCGCGGGCTGCTTCCGTGACCGGTTCATCCTGCGTCTCTGGCTTCTCCTCCGCGGGGGTGTCGGCGTGGGATGGTGTTTCTGTAGCGGCGGGGACGTCTTCTGTAGGTTCGGCTTCGGCGGAGGCCTCTGCTTCTTTGGATGTCTCTGTTCCGGCAGTGGATGTCTTATTGGCCTTCTTCTTTTTCTTCTGCATCTGGGCCACCTACAAACAACGGGATTGTTTAGACGCCGAAATAACAGTCTCTCATGCGGGGAAGTTACCTTTTTCTTGGCTGCAGCCAGCTTCTCTGCCTTAATGCGCTCCTCCTCGTCGGCCATGATGAAATGCTTAGTCGTAATGAAATCAATCGGGGAGTGTGGATGGAGCGGAAGGGAGAGAATGGACAGCTTTCCCCAATCGGCGCACGGACCAGGTGTCTGATCTACGTCAGGCATGGAAGTATAGAAGAGACTTGACATTGAATGAACATGTAGGTGGTCGGCTCATCCCTCTTAATGCAGTATAGTCACGGACTTTATATAGCCATGTTATATACAAGAGATCCTTATAAGTGATAAACAAACACTGGGAATATCGGATCGGTATACGCGACGGGACCTACTGTAACGCGCTGCTCGAGTAAAGTGGTCTGGTCATGTGCTGCTTCTGCTACTTGATTGGGTATAAGTCTGTAGAGTCGGAGCTGCTGCTGAGCAGGGAAGTTCCTATTTTGGTATCTTCGGTTTCACCATGATGGGCTATATGCATCAGTCAAGTGGGTGATACTTCTAGCCTATAGTCAGTAATCGACATGAAGCTCAGTAATCGAGATGAAGCATTGAGATGTACAGAATTGTTTCAGTATTGTGGATATCAAAAAGGAGTAAACATTCATCCCAATAAAAATTAAACGTGGATGATATTAGGTAGTATGGACACAATCCAAGTAAAGCGTCAAGGGGCCATCATGTCAATCTTGTTCATATCAACACCCCCCATAAGGAAAACCATGCAAGTTGATTGCGCCGAAAACCCATAAAGAAATATCATCCCAACGCCACTAGCTCAAAATCCAATCCGATCAACGGGATGAAAAGAAGACAGTCAAGAAACGAACACCAACAGCGAAGCGAAACAAAAAAGTGCAAAAACCTTATACCTCCATAGAGTCTGCGATTTCCTCACTCATTGCGCGGACCGTTCCCCGACGGGTAGTTGGCACATGGTCATCGTCATCGCTCAGTACGTAATGTTCATACTCGTCCATGACGGGTCTAGTTGGCTTAGTGCGATCCATCTCATCGTCACTATCACTGGCGATGAGAGTTGATCTTGCACGGTCTCCAAACCAGAATCGGGCGCGCTTGCTTGAACTGAGGTCCGGAGTGAGGTATCCATCGTCGTAGGTCCGCTTCCCGGATGGCGTGGAAACCATCTCCTCGGGCGTATGGCTGAGGATTGGAATCGCGCGTAGGTACATGTAACAGACGCGCTTGCGGAGCGGGTTGAAGAAGAAGTAATGTAGACTCCAGATTGCTCCGTCATCGGCGTCGGACGGATCTTCCTCGGGGGAGTAGGAGTAAATTGAGCATTCCTTAAGAGACATGTGCTCGTCTATCGTCTTCCATACACGGGGGCCCCATGCGGAAGATGAACCTGCAGTGTATGAGCCGGAAAGAGTGGCGGGCGATGAAGGAGATAGATCAATGTTCTCGCGCGGTCGCAGGTTGAGCAGTGTTGAATCGACCGTGTTCATGACGCGCTTTAGATTCCGCTCGCGTCGGAAATCAGTTGGTCTGAGGACATGAGAAAAGTCGTAATCCGGATGGCTTGCGTTCAACGTGGCGATCAAATAGGCAAACGTGCGTCGGCTCGAATGCTCGCTCAGGGGGCCGAACGGACTGGATCGGGATAGATTGAGTGTCTCGGCTGCGTCATGCGCATTCGGGGGTGACAACGAAGCAGAAAACCGCAGCACTGATTCATATTGCGCCTCGAGCGATTGTTCGATGTGGTTGTAGAGTTTCCGATCGGAGCGTGCTGCCTTGGTTGTGTAGATGTCGCATCCACCGACGATGTGGCAGTCCGCGGTATCGAAGTTGAGAGAGCTTGTGACATCCTCAAACTCCGGAAGAGGAAGGAACTGAATCGGAGATACGTTAGCAAAACACCACATGGACTGAGTCGACTGATCATGACACACCTTCATCTTGGACTGGGGTAGTGGAGAAACCGAGATAAGGCGATAAGCCAGAGATGACGTGTCTCGGAGTGAGAGTCAGGAGAGTCGAGAGATTCAAGAGAATCAGAGAATCGAGGCGAGTTCAAGAGATGAAGAAGCGACGAAGTGAGGTGATAACACGATGGCGGTGGGCGCAGGGCGGGTGGAGATGATGTGATGTCGGAGATAACCGCAAACAGGACTGGGGTAAGGGGGGATCTGAACTACACTAAGTAGGCCACCCTCTCTAAGAGCAAATCCAACTGAATGGAAAGGAAGAGGAATGAAAGGAATGAGTATCAACCAAGAGGGGGATTGAGATAGCAACTGGGAAGACTGGGAGGGGGATTCCGAGAGTCACGTGTAGCCTGGCCAGTGAGAGTCCGCACTGACCTCACGGGCAAGTCAACCATGGAAACCAGGCTTCACAGGCTTCTCAGGCTTCAAAGGCCAACTTGTCGTAAGTTGTGAGAGATTTCTTCTGAATCCTGAACAAGTTGTATTGATTAGTATAAAACGCCTATGTACTGAGCAAGAACCTGCTTGGCTCTACATGATCTTGGTAACCACGTCTTCCTCAACCTGGGGAAGTTAGCCCGGCTGAAACACGGCCATGGCTGGGGGAATACTGTAGCACATTGTCTTTAAGTCTCCTTTGAAGACTCAAAGACAAAGTGGTAACAGAATGACCTCGGGTGTGATAGAGAATAGGGCTGGCAAACTCACCTCCATATCTTCCAAACTGTCTTGCTGGCTGATACAGCGAAGAACATTCTTCTTGCTGGTCTCCTGCATTTCCCCCGCTATCAATAACTCATCCAGGATGAAGTATGCCTTTTGGAAGTTGAAGATAATGTCCAGCTCGCAGACATTGCCGTAGTATTTGTCCATCTGCTCCACGTATCGGTGCACCACCTCGAGGGTGATCAGTTCGTTATCGGTCGAGGCACAGCCCGCGATGAAGAATAGAGAGGCATAACGGCGGTAGACGACTTTCGAGTCTAGCATAGCAGTCCTGGTCAGCGGGATAGGGAAAGGGGTTGCGCGTGCGGAGAAAGCTACCTTTGTATTCCAGGAAATTGCACATCCGCGTCCGGCGGGATAGCACGAGTTGAGTCACATCTTTGATGATCTTGGCCTTCTCCTTGGGGGAGAGAGTGGTGAACCACTTTGCGAGGCGCTGGGAGGTTGCGTCAGTTTGGGGCCAGGTGTTAGTTGGGTGGGCGACGAGAACGCACCACTTTGCCCTGTCGGGAAAGCAGAATTAGGTAGCTGGCAGGGGTTAGTCTCTGGGGGGCAATTGCACCGCTGGAGGGATCTCACTGGAGAGGCATGTTGATGGTGATGTGAAAAGAAGGGATGGGGAAAGGTGTCAAGGCGGCTAGAAATTCTTTGGGTGGAGCGGAGGGGAGATTTGCCCCGCTGAGCCCTAGCTCGGGACAATACAGTAGATTCAATAAGTTCAATAGAAGATGAATGAGAGTAGGTATCTATTGTGGTTTCTGAATCTGTGTTCTTTGCGCACGGGGCTCCAATGACTCAACCCCTCGCCTCCATGACGGCACTTACACTACCCAATGGGGTAAGCTGTATCCATGGCTGTAGAACGGGGTTTATGTACTCAATAGAATGAACAAAGCAATCACATCGATTTAGTAACTTTTTATCATACTCATTACTATTCCAGTGTTGCTACGTCAGGCTCTATAATGAAGGCTAAGTACTGCGTAGAGCTCTGCTAACTCACAAGCTACCCTGTCCGGTGTGATAATGATCTTTCGAGATTTTAGGTATTTTAGGGACCATTCATTCCACAGATAACGAACCTATACCCGATTTAGGAGTGTAGAAACATATTTATCGCGCAAAGTAGCACCCAACGTGATAGGATTCATCAGAGCATCGCATTAGACCAAAACTTCAACTAAATATGTAACAGGACGAAATCATAAGATAAATAGATTAGTACAACATTTTGAAATATCTCAAATGATCAAATTTTCAGTCAACGCTAGCGCGAACGCACAAGGCGACTAACCAACCACAAATATTATTAATGAAATAAGTAATAGCATATTAATTATCAGATTCTCCCAAGAAGGAGAACAAATGAAGGTACATTTCATGTTTCGAATCATCCCAGACATGTAACGCAAAGGACTTTGATGCTCGAACTCGCAGATCGTACAACCACCTTCACCCAAAATCCGACACCACCTTCTCAACGCCATTTACCATAACCATAACCATACCCGTTACCGTGACCGTGACCGTGACCATAACCCGAATGTCCCATATTACCAGGTAGTACATAACAGTCAAGACAGAGCGCAAACTGCTCATAGCTCAACATATACCACCTACCTTGCGACGGCAACCAACTTAAACCTGAGCCATGCTAGGTCCACCGCGACGGCTACCAGTACGGCCGCGCAGGTTGACAGTGGAAGCACGGGACATGAAGATCGAGACAATAACAGAGGCCATATAACCAGCCCAGCCGAACCAGAGGAAGGCAACAGAGGCCTGGGCCTCACGGCAGCGCTTGGTCATATTAGTAGCGCCGTTGGTGATCTCGTTGTTTATGAGGTACTCCTGGGAACGGGGTTAGCAAATAGATCTTCCTTCTCTCGATTCATCCACTTACGGTGTTCTTGCAAGAGTGGCAATGAAGCCTGGCAGCCAAAGCAATAGCAGCACAGAAGAAGAAGACGCAGTTCAGTGCGTCAAGGACGATCATGATGATCGGGTGACCGGCCCAGTCGATGTTGAACGAGGCCGGGACCAGGTAGAACAGTGAGACCATTGAGAACACCGATACGAAGATCGAGTAGTTCACCGTCGCGGGGTTGCCTGCGAACGCGTCGGCGATCATGTTGCCGATCAGGGCCATGATGAGGAGAGACCATAGGAACTGCGAGGGGATATTGTTAAAGGGCAACTCCAAAACGCGACTTTCGAGCTGTGAAGCTTACCTCCCAGGCTCGCAGGCCCAACTGCACACCCTTCAGCGCCATAGTGAGATGTCAAGGTGGTGAAGATATCGATGATAAGATACGGAGGTGCGAGGTATGTGAAGCAAAAGCAAGAATGCCAGGGATAGCAAGTTATAAGTCGGAAGCTCCGGAAAACGGTGACGATATGCAAAAAGCAAAAGCTAAAAGCTAAACTCGGCTACGTCATGCATTCGGGATGAAGCGGCTGCTTATTGGAAACTTGGAGGAGGAACGTTGCAGTCTAGTCAATGACAAAATGATTTGAAGACTCTGCGCTGGTATTTGCTGGAAAGTGCCTTGACCTTCGCCTACATGCCAAGGACTTTCCAAGGACTGTCAGAAGTAGGCTTTGGATGGCTCTTAACGTAAGTACCCATAGGGCAGCCATAGGGCAGTGTCTACAGTGCAGTTCTCCTCCCACCTCCACCCCACCACCCCATTACGGTTGATCGACGGTTCCACTCATATTTCTATAGGGACCAGGGACAGTGTAGGTTTGTGGCACAATGAGCTCCCAAAAATGTAGTACAACTACTGTAGCACCGACTTGATTTAATAAACAAGAGAATAAAATCTGAGTAGAAGCAAGGAAAACTAGCGGTAATGTTGATTGAACAGGCAATCGGGAACAAAAAAAGATCGTGGTTCCAGAGGGGGTCGAACCCTCGACTTTGGCGTTATTAGCACCACACTCTAACCAACTGAGTTATGGAACCATTTGTTGAAAGATTCCGAAATTTTTGTCATTATATTCCAAAAAGAAATCTTATAATTTCAAAACTCAAACTTAGTGCAGGATCCTCTACTTATACGGCGCCGGGGAACGCCACGTAGAGCTGCTAACTTCTTATAGCCGTCCTAGGCGTCAAGCATAGAGCAGAGCAGCCAGCGGAGCACCTAGAGCACTACATTCGAGCGTTTAATCCACCGAGAGCTATCTACGTTCGAATATATGCTACTACCGTAGGAAGGGGGTCCTGGAGGGCGTGGAGGGCGCGGTAGAGATCGTGGAGGGCGTAGAGGGCACGAAGGGCGTGGTAGCACGGTCGCAGCCACGGTCGGAGATTAGAGGATCCTACGTAGTACTCAGCGTGGTCAGGGGGCTGAGTGATCAGGATTAACGCATCTGATTGGATACTGAATGGAGATGTATGCATGTGGTTTAATTGTAGAAAAAGAGAGCGACTTAATGGACTGAAAAACCAGTAATTTTACTAGGGAAACCAGAATTAGAGGCAGGGTGGCCTTCGGCTGAATAAAATTCCGGAATCTACTGGCAGAAAATGTGGTGGCCGAAAATATCAGGCAGGGGGGGTCGCATTAGTTAGTTATCAACTCCCTATATTTAATAATTTTTATAACTAAATATCGGTTATTTTCGGATAATTTAAAAAGCCTACTAAACTATAAAAGGCTTTTATTATTATAGTATATTCAGTTTCATTCGAGGGTATATTAGATTATCGATTTAGAACTTCCGAAATTCCGAAATATCCTCTATTAAAGTATATAATTTACATTAGCCTATAATTTGACCTTATCAATAAAAAGATAGCTTATTTACCTTTTTAGTATTTAAATTAATAGGCTTTAACGGGGTTCTGAGAACTATAGTTAATAATTAAAAAAGATAGGTTAGTTCGAATATATAACAAAAACACAGGTTTAGGTCCATTCGTACAGAAACTTTTACGGACCGACTGTAAGTGCATTAGCAATAATAATAATTTTGTTTTTGAAAAAAAATAAGAAAAAAGAAAAAAGAAATCGTGGTTCCAGAGGGGGTCGAACCCTCGACTTTGGCGTTATTAGCACCACACTCTAACCAACTGAGTTATGGAACCATTTGTTGTAAGATTCCGACATTTTTGTCATTATATTCCAAAACAAATTCCTATGATTTCAAATCACTCTTCGGTGTTAAGTGCATTGGTAACATTCAAATCTACCGACGGACAGGACCCTGAGCATGTCCGAGAGATACAAAAATAGGCGACATAACCCTAAGATGTTTAAGCGTATCTGGGGGGAGGACCCTATAAAGGTAAAGATCAGGCACGGCCCTAAGATCATCAGGGAGAGATGCCCTGAGACACTAGGTCGGACGCCGGCAAGTACAGAAAGCACTGAACATGCTGAACGTATCGGGCCCTACTCCTTGTACACCTATGAAGGACTTTCGTCTGAAAATTAGGCGTGGACTGGGCGCCGAATATATGTTAACGCAAGGTACAGGATGTGTTAAGTTCACGATATAAGAAGGGCGGTTTGTACTGAGCGTGCCCCCTATAAAAGGCACCCAGGACATTATCGACCCGAAACCACCATGAGGGAGAGTGGCTTGTATGGGTTCAATCCCCTGTCGCAGCGCCGGTTGGGGGCAACGCACCTCTTCCTCGGGGCGGCTTAATGCTTCCTGAATACAAAAACAAATTTTCGCTGTAACATTCAAATCTACAGTTCTACCGTAAAAGTTTTCGTACACCCGGCTCCACATAAAAATAAATTATCAACTATTTTAATTTACTTTTCATATCCTTTATTATCTTTAGTATATTCTATAACTTATTTATATTATAAAGGAGGTCTTTCTCTATTAAAAGCTATCTTTAAAATTAAAATTAAAATATCTTTTTATATGTATTTAAAAAATAGTTATATTTTAAATAAACTAAAGAAAAATTTTAAAACTGTATAATCTTTAAACTACTCTATTACTTTATCCCTTTAATAAATTTAAATAGAACTTATCTTATTTAATAGAATAGCTAATTCTCTTTCTAAATGTTATGAGCCAAATCTTCAAGGAAAAGAGTGCATTTGAACAAAGAAATTAAGCATGAAGAGAAAAGAATCTAACTACACAAACATGGCCATTAATATATGGGCTTTCCCATACAGACTAAGTCCCCATGATCCAGGATCCTGGTCCAGAATGTATGACAGATTCCGAGACGGAAATCATAAGACTTCGGAAGAATGCATGTAGGAAATTGCGGTGAAAGCATTCGAAGGGAATCGATGGGAAAATGCATTTGGCAATGCTTTCCCAAACAGATGCTGATTTCCCGGATCCCTGCTCCATGATTGTGCTCCATATTCTCGATGCCTCAATGCTCCATGTAAATGCTCCCAGGCCTGGCGATCAATGCATGTGACCCAGAGCTTGTGACACTAAATATAATATATAAAAATCAAGTTTTAAAACCTGGCATACAGATATATATGTTTATGCATACCAAAAACATCTTAAGATATTAGGGAAATGTACTAAAAAAGCCTATAAGATTTTTGGTAATACCGGTTTTTCTACCCTTTGTATATATAAATTAATCATCGAAAAGATTTTATCTATTTTATTGAATTTTTAAGTGATCAAAGTTGTTACGTTGATAATTGATTTCTATACGGAGTGGGACGTACGAAAACTTTTGCGGAGTGATGTACCCGTTGACAAGGATATCGACGATCCAGTCCCTCTACTAAAGCTCCTATTCCCAGTGCATCATACAACGTAACAAGCCCCACTATACATAGCTTATATATTCATAACATGAGGAGAAACGTACAAAGTGTAATTAACTGGGGACCACCTAAGTCTGACTGATAAAGCCTCTTCAGGGAATTAAAGCCGTAAAGGATAAGGAGAAGGCTTAGGGAAAAGTTACCAGATGGTGTAGTGACTTCCAAGCCTAGACGAACGCTAACAAGTTGTTGATACTTCAGCGGCCTTCCCAGGTGGCCCGTCCAGCCCCTCCTCTGTTCTACCTCTCATTTCCATGGAATTATCTATCACCATCTCAAATTTGCATCATAATCCTACAAAATCAAACTTGGTGGAGAGCTCGAAAAACTTTAGTGATAAAAAAATTAGCCTTGAAAGAGATCAATCACAAGGGTAAATTTACATACCTTGATGCCTAATGGGAGAATCTGGGCTAAAGGATTTACTCCCATCCAAGAGTGTCCTGATCATCCCGGGTACCAACAGGAAGGGCGGTAGGCTCGACCTCACTCTTCTCCACACCGCGGATCATCGGGCTAGTGCGCTCAAAGTAGGTATACAAAGAGCCCTGGAGAACAGACTCATCAACATCATCCAGATCGAAGAGAGGTCTTTATCTTCTCCACGGACGGCCATAGCGGCTTCCCACTCGGCTCGGAACTCCTTGACCTTCATTTGATAGCCAAGGTCAGCATCGTAGTGCTTGCCCTTGCCCATCCAGCGCTCCCAGATAGAAAGATGCTTGCGGTGGACAGCAGGGCCATGGTACCCATGCTCGCGACCTTGGCGGATATGCAACCAGCGACGCTCTTGTTCGCGTAGATCAAGACCGGTGGTGTCCGGCAGGAAAAGCTTAGTGAGCACACCAGCCAGACCGAACCAAGGGACAATATAGAATTGTTGCTGGGTGGTGGTGTAAGATCCGATAACGGCGATGACTAGAGCACCGAGCTTTCCTGCAGCGGCAGAGAGGCCATGGGCAGTGGCACGGATTGGAGTGGGGAAAACCTCGGCAGCGACGAGGAAGGTGATGCAGTTCGGGCTAAATTGGTTGAAAAAGGAACCGATAAAGTATATCGCTTGGAACGAATGGATATGGGCAGATGACTCGTACTTTAAAAGAAAGGCGGGGATCATGAAGAGAATGAAACTTATTTTAAAGCTAATAATCTACATCCATTTTCGGCCGTAGAGCTTATCATCAACGAACTATGAAGCGCAGTAATAACCAGCCAGAGAAGCGGTAATACTCATCAAGTTCTAAAGCCAGTTGGTTATAAGAGATGTAGAGTAAAGACTGATGACTACGATAAACTTGCTCTGAAAGAGCTTGTTTCAGTAGAAGACGTTATTAGTAAGCCAATAACCGGCTGTGGCAACTAGACGAGAGGTGAAATACTTAAAGATCAACTTTAATAACTGAGTATCGTACCCGGTGATAGATACCTTTTGCTTCTGGGCATCAAGCTGCTTACTAGCAGCCGTGGCCTTAACGTGGTACGCATGGTAGTAGACAAGCCAGAGGGTTCCGATAGCTGGAATGAAAAAGGAGACACGGTAGGTCCAGTTCGTGGTGGTGGTAGATATATGAGGAGTGGTCAAGACTGAGCCAGCCTTTCCTGGCGAGGACCTTAATTATATTGGAAAATAACCCATCACTTCATTGTGATGCGAGAGAGTCAGCCTAGGTAGCCTGGGGCTGTAATAGTGAGATCGCCACCCGGAATCAAGCAACTCGAGCAACGCCATGGCCGACTTATAAGAAGAAGCTCGAAAGCATCCCCCCAGGGCGCAACAGCTAACAGGCTGTTGTTCCTTCGGCGCGAAGACTAATACAGGACTAGCAGTAAGTGAAAGTCTGGCGCACCACATGGGCGTCCCTTTTTCTTCCCACGGTGGAGCCCGGTCAGACACGAGCGTGTTGAAATCAGCGACTGGCTTCGAACGCATAATGGAATGTTCCTTCGGCCGATGGAATATGTGCACAGTGCAACATGGGCATTCCAATTGGTCGATTTCTTACTTGCGTCGAGCCTCTGGGAGGGGCGGAAATGCGGCCGAGATCCGAGCACCTTGAGCGCCTGTTAAGATCGGGAGGTTGACCACGCTTTGCTCGTGTCTCACTACCTCTCGCTTGCGCGTGCCCGCGGCTTGCTTCTTCGGGGCCTGTATATCATTATCACGTGGGTGCTATCTTGTGCAGTTCAAACAGGGCATTTTTCATCGTTGTGGACTCAATTTCCACTGTTCGCTCGAAATTACCGGGTTGACATTCAATTTTTCCCTTGAATCAGTGATATATGCCTCGCGGCTTCTAAGGAAGCCTAAGTAAGCATCCCAGCTGACCTTGAGATCGGTAAAAGTATTATTCAGAATCTGTTGATGGATACTATGATTGGTTGGGCAGAGCGATGTTCGAAGAGCTACAAACCACAGCTTTCGACATAGTTTTACTTGCCCGGATTTCTTGATTTGAAATGAATATGTTGTACCATCAAGCCTACATTCCCTTGGCTTGAACCAAATGGTCCCTCACACTGGTGACTTAAGGTGGTGGAGGTGAGTAGGGTGAGAACGAGACAAGCAAGTTTGCCTAGGTGGGATCCCGGGATACTGAGCACTATCGAGCATCATATAAAGATTGGCATGTATTTCCTATCCGGTCATCAATCACTACTTAAAGTCGCGAGAGGACCTTTGCTTCAAAGGCAGGATACTGCGTCGCTTGGGCCCCTTTATATTGTTACACTTGCTTCCAATTTTTGGTCAATTTAATTGGAAAAAGCGGCCCAAAGCGATTCTGCCAAGTTTCCAGCTGCATCTTTTGCACCTGAATGGGAAGCTCCACCTGACTGGTAAGCACCAGGCGGTGTTTCCAACTAAACAAAGCATGGAGAATTGTATGTTTTATGTGTTTTTTAGCTATGGAAACCATGTGACTAGATTATAACAATAATTGCCCGTAGATCCATTGAGCAATACATTTGGCCGTCACCCACAACAAGGTTCCATAACTCAGTTGGTTAGAGTGTGGTGCTAATAACGCCAAAGTCGAGGGTTCGACCCCCTCTGGAACCACGATTTCTTTTTTATTTTTATTTTTTATTTTTATTTTTATTTTTTTCAAAAAAAAAAAAGGTAAATATTACTAATGCACTTACGTTGTGGATCAGATTTTTCGAAATCAAGGAATTCATTTTGGAATATAATGACAAAAATCTCGAAACCTTAAAACAAATGGTTCCATAACTCAGTTGGTTAGAGTGTGGTGCTAATAACGCCAAAGTCGAGGGTTCGACCCCCTCTGGAACCACGATTTCTTTT